GATGGCGGCGGCCGGGCGGGGCTGAGCCGGGCCCGGACAGGTACCGGGACCGGGACGGTACCGGGGGGTGGCCGGCGGGGACTGCCCGGAGCGCCGAGCCGGGCCCGGTGGTACCGAGGCGGTACCGGAACCGGGGGGGCAGGACCGGGACAGGGACTGGAAGCGGAGAGGGGAGCAGCACCGGGGCCAGGCGGGGCAGGACCGGCCTCAGGCCTGCACCGGGGCCGGGAGGACCCGGGTAGTACCGGGGTCAGGCCGTACCGGGACCAGCGGGACTCGGTCGGGGAGGCAGTACCGGGGCTGGCACCGGAGACGGGCGGGGACTGAACCGGACCGTTCCCGGTACCGGAACGGCACCGATCTATTCCCCGCCACCGATCCATCCCCCGCCACCGATCCGAGCCGTGTCCTCTCTGTTCCGCAGCCCCGCTGCCCCCGCCATGCTGCCCCGGGCCGCTTGGGCGGCTCTCCGGTAACACCGGGCGGCTCTCCGGTAATACCGGGCGGCTCCCCGGTAAGACCGGGCGGCCCCGCGATGCTGCGGCGGCTGCTGGAGCGGCCGTGCTCGCTGGCGCTGCTGGTCGGGTGCCAGTTCGCCTTCGTGGCGTATTTCTCGCTGGGCGGGTTCCGGAACCTCACGGCGCTGTTCGGTCGAGCCGCCGGTCCCGCCGTGGATTATTCCCGGACCCACGACGTTTACGCCAACCTGAGCCGCGTGGCTACCGGCAGCGGCACCGGGAACGGCCCCGCCGCGCCGCCGGACCCCGACAGGCCGCTGCCGTTCTGCCCTGAGAGATCGCCGTTCCTCGGTGAGAGCGGCAGGGGAACCGGAGGGGAACCGGGAGGGAACGGAGATAACCGGGAGGAACGGGGAGGGAACCGGGCAGAGAACGGAGACTCTTGGCGGGAGGAACCGGCACGGGAACGGGAGCACCGGGTAGAGAACGGAGCCCTCCCGCAAGGGGAGGAACCGGAGGGAGAAAGAACCGGGGAGGGAAGGAGCGAGGAGTAACCTCCCGGTAACGAACCGGCTCCGGGCCCTCCCCCCGGGACCGAACCGGTTCCGGTCCTTCCTCCCGGTAACGAACCGGTTCCAGCCGCTCCCGAGCCTTCCCCGGGAAGAAGAACCGGTTGAACCGGTTCCTTCCCCCTCCCCCCGGGACTGAACCGGATCCCCCTGGGGAGGAACCGGGGCTGGAAGGGAACTCAGGGTGGGGCTGGCCCGGTTTGGGACCGGGAGGGACAAACCCGGCCCAGTTTGGGGACAAACCCATCCCAGTTTGGGGACACAACCCCAGCCCAGTTTGGGGATTTGGGGACACAACCCCATCCCAATTTGGGTCTGGGGACACAAACCCATCCCAGTTTAGGGACAGGAGAGGACACAAGTCCACCCCAGTTTGAGGACACAAACCCATCCCAGTTTGGGGACAAACCCAGCCCAATTTGGGGACAAACCCATCCCAGTTTGAGGACACAAACCCATCCCAGTTTGGGGACAAACCCATCCCAATTTGGGGACAACCCCATCCCAGTTTGGTGACACAAATCCATCCCAATTTGGGGACACAAAGCCATCCCAGCTTGGGTTTGGGGACACAAACCCATCCCAGTTTGGGGACAAACCCACCCCAGTTTGGGGACAAACCCAGCCCAGTTTGGGGATTTGGGGACACAAACCCACCCCAGTTTGGGGACAAACCCATCCCAGTTTGGGGACAAACCCACCCCAGTTTATGGACAAACCCAGCCCAGTTTGGGGATTTGGGGACACAACCCCATCCCAGTTTGGTGACACAACCCCATCCCAGTTTGGGTTTGAGGACACAACCCCATCCCAGTTTGGGGACAAACCCAGCTCAATTTAGGGACACAAACCCATCCCAGTTTGGGTACACAAACCCATCCCAGTTTGGGGACAAATCCAGCCCAGTTTGGGTTTAGGGACACAACCCCATCCCAGTTTGGGTCTGGGGACACAACCCCATCCCAGTTTGGGGACACAACCCCATCCCAGTTTGGGGACAAAGCCACCCTGTCCCCGCAGTGGGCCCGCTGGCCGTGTCCTTCGCCCGGGTGCCGACGCTGGAGCAGATCCTGGCCAAGAACCCGGGGGTGGGGGCGGGGGGCCGGTACCGCCCGCCCCGCTGCGAGCCCCGCTCCCGCACCGCCGTCATCGTCCCCCACCGCAACCGCGAGGCCCACCTGGGCCACCTGCTCTACTACCTGCACCCCTTCCTGCAGCGCCAGCAGCTCGCCTACGGCATCTACGTCGTGCACCAGGTGGGCACGGGGCGCGGGGGGCTTTGGGGGGAGGCTCAGGGCGGTTTGGGGGGTCCTCAGGGTGGTTTGAGGGGGTTTGGGGAATCCTCAGGGTGGTTTGGGGGGTCCTCAGGGTGGTTTCGGGGATGCTTGTGGTGGTTTGAGGTAGTTTCAGGGGTCCCAACAGTGATTTAGGGGGTCCTCAGGGTGGTTTGAGGTGGTTTGGGGGATCCCCATGGTGGTTTGGGGGCTCCTCAGGGTGGTTTGGGGGCTCCTCAGGGTGGTTTGGGGGGTCCTCAGGGTGGTTTGAGGTGGTTTGGGGGCTCCTCAGGGTGGTTTCGGGACTCCTCAGGGTGGTTTGAGGTGGTTTGGGGGATCCCCACGGTGGTTTGGGGGGTCCTCAGGGTGGTTTGGGGAATCCTCAGGGTGGTTTGAGGGGTCCTCAGGGTGGCTTGAGGTGGTTTGGGGGGTCCTCAGGGTGAACGTGGGGCTTCAGGGGGTTCAGTGGGGATGGGTTTAGAGTTTCCCAGGAGATTTCGGGGTGACCCCAGGAGGTTTTGGGGTGTCCCCAGGCCGGGAACTGCACGTTTAACCGGGCCAAGCTGCTGAACGTGGGGGTGAAGGAGGCTCTGAAGGACGAGGACTGGGACTGCCTGTTCCTGCACGACGTGGACCTGATCCCCGAGAACGACCACAACCTCTACACCTGCGACCCCTGGAACCCCAAACACGCCTCGGTGGCCATGAACAAATTCGGTTACAGGTGAGCCCCGCCCTCGGGGACACCCTGGGGACACTCTGGGGACACTCTGGGGACAGCTGGCTCACTGTCCCCGTGTCCCCAGCCTGCCCTACCCACAGTATTTCGGGGGGGTCTCGGCGCTGACCCCCGACCAGTACATGAAGATCAACGGGTTCCCCAACGAGTACTGGGGCTGGGGGGGCGAGGACGATGACATCGCCACCAGGTAGGGCTGGGGACATCCAGGGGACACTGCCATGGCATGGGGGGGTGGCACTCAGGGGGTGGGGGACATGGGGGGTGTTCTATCACCTTGAGGGGGACACAAGGGGTGTGACAGTGCCCTGGGGGGGACATTGGGGGTGTCCTGTCACACTGCATGTCCCCATGCCCTGTCCCCCAGGGTGACGTGGTGATGATGTCACTGTATGGTGGCTGTCGCTGCCACCACAGGGGTGTCCCTGTCCCCTCTGGGTGACACCGCGACCCTCCCTTCTCGCTGTCCCCACCTTTGTGTCCCCACTGCTGGGACACAGGGGGCTGTCCCAGTGCCCTGGCCCTGCCCCGGGGCTGTGGCTGTCCCCACTGTCCCCAGTGCCATGTCCCCATTGTCCCTGGTGCCACTGTCCCTGCTCTCCCAGGGCTGTGGCTGTCCCCACTGTCCCCAGTGCCATTGTCCCCACTGTCCCTGGTGCCATTGTCCCTGCTGTCCCTGGTGCCATGTCCCTGCTGTCCCCGCTGTCCCTGGTGCCACCGTCCCCGGTGCCATGTCCCCGCTGTCCCTGGTGCCATTGTCCCCACTGTCCCTGCTGTCCCTGGTGCCACTGTCCCTGGTGCCATTGTCCCTGCTGTCCCCATTGTCCCCGGTGCTATGTCCCCGCTGTCTCTGCTGTCCCCGGTGCCACTGTCGCCACTGTCCCTGGTGCCATTGTCCCTGCTGTCCCCACTGTCCCTGGTGCCATTGTCCCTGCTGTCCCTGCTGTCCCCAGTGCCATGTCCCCGCTGTCCCTGGTGCCACTGTCCCCAGTGCCATGTCCCTGCTGTCCCCACTGTCCCCAGTGCCATGTCCCCGCTGTCCCTGCTGTCCCTGGTGCCACTGTCCCTGGTGCCATTGTCCCTGCTGTCCCCATTGTCCCCGGTGCCATGTCCCCGCTGTCCCCGGTGCCATGTCCCCGCTGTCCCCATTGTCCCCGGTGCCATGTCCCCGCTGTCCCCGCTGTCCCCGGTGCCATGTCCCCGCTGTCCCCACTGTCCCTGGTGCCATTGTCCCTGCTGTCCCCACTGTCCCTGGTGCCACTGTCCCCAGTGCCATGTCCCCGCTGTCCCCGCAGGGTGCGGCTGGCCGGGATGAAGATCTCCCGCCCGCCCGTCTCCATCGGCCACTACAAGATGGTGAAACACAAGAGCGACAAAGGCAACGAGGAGAACCCGCACAGGTCCGGGGGTGGGTCGGGGGGTGGCAGCGGGGGCCGGGTGACAGTGGTGACATCGCGGTGACACCCCAGGTTCGACCTGCTGGTGCGGACGCAGCGGACGTGGACGCAGGACGGGATGAACTCGCTGAGCTACGCGCTGCTGGCGCGGGAGCTGCGCCCGCTCTACACCAACCTGACGGCCGACATCGGCTGCGACCCCCGCGCCCGTCCCCGCGCCCCCCAGGGTGGCAGTGCCAGCCGCTTCCGCCAGGAGATGCTGCGCAAGTCCCCCCGCGGGGACCTGCCACCGCTGCCACCCGCGCTGCCGCCCGCCCGCAACGCCAGCGCGGCCGCGGCGCCGGGGGGCAACCACAGCCTGGCACCCCCGCCCTGAACCGCCAGCCCCGAGCCCGCTGTGGGTGGCAGCGAGCCCCGGGGGGCTGCTGGCCGTGGGGGGACAGGGGACACCCCCAGGGGGGACAGGGGACACCCCCCGAGGGGACACGGGGCTCGCCCAGCCCTGCCCCTGGGTCCCCAGCTCGGGCACGCGGGTATTTATTCTATTTATGAGCCGCTCCCTGGACCTTTCTAAAGGGTTTTTTTCAATTAAAAAAAAAATCATTTTGTCCTACGCTGGCGGCTGAGGGGACCCTGGGGCTGCATGAAGTGGGGGGGCACCTCTGGGCTCAGGGGGGGGACCCCAAAATCCGCCCCACGGCCGCCTCGGCGCTGGCGATGCAGTCGTTGACGGAGACCCCGGAGTAGGAGGCGCCGATCAGGCTCAGGGGCAGCTGCTGCTCCTTCAGGAAGCGCTGGATCCGCTCTGGGGGGACACCACAGCGGCTGGGGACACGCTGGGGACAGCCTGGCCACCCCCGGGGACAGCAGGACGCCCCCGGGGACAGCAGGGCCACCCCCACCCCGCTCACCGAGGCGCTCCCAGTGTCCCAGCGTATACTGGGGGATGCAGTCCTGGGGGAAAAAAGGGGTGGGGGGGACATGGGTGAGCCCCTCAGAGCCCCCCCAAAGTGCCACCCACCCCCCAGAGTGTCAGCCACCCACAGCCCCCCACAAGTGCCACCCACTCAGAGGCCTCCAAAAGTGTCACCCACCCACAGACCCCCCCCAAAATGTCACCCACCCACCAAGTGCCAACCTCCCTGGAATGTCGCCCACCCAAAACCACCCACAGCCCCCCAAACTGTCACTCCCTCCCCCGATGTCACCCCCCCAGAGCCCCCCGGTGTCCCCTACCTGCTGCACCCTGACGATGGCGTGGGTGGGGGTCCCGGCCAGCCCCAGGTGGTCGCTCACGGCCGCCCGTGCCCGGCGCAGCAGCAGCTCGGGGGCCACCGTGGCGGGGTCCCCAAAACTCTGCTGGAACCAGGCCCCGCCCAGCATCACCTGGGGGACACCGCCAGACCCCCAAAGTCATCCTTGTGACACCCACGGTGTCCCCAGGGTCACCCCTGTGACACCCACGGTGTCCCCAGGGTCACTCAGTGCCTGCCAGCCCCCCAAAATCACCCCTGTGACCCCCACAGTGTCCCCAGAGTCACCCCTGTGACACCCACGGTGTCCCCAGGGTCACCCCTGTGACACCCACGGTGTCCCCAGGGTCACTCAGTGCCTGCCAGCCCCCCAAAATCACCCCTGTGACACCCTCAGTGTCCCTAGGGTCACCCCTGTGACACCCTCAGTGTCCCCAGGGTCACCTAGACCCAGCCCCCCAAATCACCCCTGTGACACCCTCAGTGTCCCCAGGGTAACTCAGTGCCAGGCCCCCAAAATCACCTGTGTCACCCCACTCCTGGTGTCCCAGTGTCACCCCCCAGTGGCCCCCAATATGTCCCCAGTGCCACACCCAGTGTCCCCAGTGTCACCCTACGATATCCCCAGTGCCACCCCCCAGTGTCCCACCCAGTGTCCCCGCTCTGTGTCCCCACTGTGAACCCCCCAAATCACTCCTGTCACTGCCCCCAGTGTCCCCCGAGGTGTCCCCCCACGATGTCCCCAGTGTCCCCGCGGTGTCCCCACCGTCAGCCGCAGCGGGGGCCTCCCGGGGGTCGCGGGGGTCCCGTCGTGCTCCGGGAACGCCACCGAGTCGTAGACGATGCCCAGGAGCGCCGGGTCCTCCGAGGATGGCACCAGGTGGCCAAAACCCTGCCAGGGGGGTGGGGGCGAGCTGGGGTCACCGCGGGGCTCGGGGACACCGGGGGGTTTGGGGACACGGTGGGGTTTGGGGACACGGGGGGTTTGGGGTCACCGGGGGGCTCAGGGACACCGGGGGGTTTGGGGACACCGGGGGGTTTGGGGACAGAGCAGGGTTTGGGGACACGGTGGGGTTTGGGGACACGGGGGGGTTGGGGACACCGGGGGGTTTGGGGTCACGGCGGGGTTTGGGGACACGGGGGGTTTGGGGACACGGTGGGGTTTGGGGACAGAGCAGGGTTTGGGGACACGGTGGGGTTTGGGGACACGGGGGGGTTGGGGACACCGGGGGGTTTGGGGTCACGGCGGGGTTTGGGGACACGGGGGGTTTGGGGACACTGGGAGGTTTGGGGACACGGTGAGGTTTGGGGACACCGGGGGGTCTGGGGACACGGTGGGGTCTGGGGACACCGGGGAGTTTGGGGACACGGTGGGGTTTGGGGACACCGGGGGGTTTGGGGACACCGGGGGGCTCAGGGACACGGCGGGGTTTGGGGACACCGGGGGGCTCAGGGACACCGGGGGGTTTGGGGACACGGCGGGGTTTTGGGGACACCGGGGGGCTCAGGGACACCGGGGGGTTTGGGGACACGGTGGGGCTCGGGGACACGGCGGGGCTCAGGGACACGGGTCTGGGGACACCGCGGGGTTTGGGGTCACCGGGGGGTTTGGGGACACCGGGGGGTTTGGGGACACGGCGGGGCTCAGGGACACGGGTCTGGGGACACCGCGGGGTTTGGGGTCACCGGGGGGTTTGGGGACACCGGGGGGTTTGGGGACACCGCGGGGTTTGGGGTCACCGGGGGGTTTGGGGACACCGGGGGGTTTGGGGACACGGCGGGGTTTTGGGGACACCGGGGGGCTCAGGGACACCGGGGGGTTTGGGGACACGGTGGGGTTTGGGGACACTGGGAGGTTTGGGGACACGGTGGGGTCTGGGGACACGGCGGGGCTCAGGGACACCGGGGGGCTCAAGGACACCGGACACCGGGGGGTTTGGGGACAGAGCAGGGTTTGGGGACACGGTGGGGTTTGGGGACACCGGGGGGTTCGGGGACACGGCGGGGACACTCACCGTCACCGGCAGCGCGACCCCCTCGTACTGCAGGTTGACCACGGCCACGGAGGCGGCCGGGATCGCCCGGAGCTCCCGCGCCAGCGGCTCCGCCTCGGCCGGCAGCGCCCGGGCCAGGGCTGGGGACAGCGGGGACAGCGGGGACATCAGCGACACGGCGGGGACACGGCGGGACCCGCCCCGCCCCAGGCGCGGCCGTACCTGCGGCAGGGATGGCGCTGACAACGTGATCGGCCGAGATGGTGGCATCGGGCAGCGACAGCTGGGGACACGGGGGGACACGGTGGGGACACGGTGGGGACACTGGGGAGGGGAGCGGGGACAACACTGGGGACACTGGGGGCACTGGGGACAGCGCTGGTGACACTCGGGACAATGGGGACACCGGGGAAGGGACTGGGGACACTCAGGGCAATGGGGACACTGGGGAGGGGACTGGGGATAGCACTGGGGATACTGGGAAGGGGACGGGGGACATTGGGGAGGGGACTGGGAACACCGGCGAGGGGACACTGGGGACGGGCCCGGGTGACTGGGGACACTGGGGACAGCAGTGGGGACACTGGGAAGGGTTCTGGGAACACTGGGGAGGGGACACTGGGAAGGGGATAAGGACACTGGGGATGGCACTGGAGACACTAGGGAGGGGACACTGGGGACACTGGGGAGGGGACACTGGGGACAGGCCCGGGTGACTGGGGACACTGGGAAGGGACAGAGGACTGGAGGACACGGGCTGTGGGGGGGCTGGAGAGCGGGAAGGGGACCCAGGGGGACACCGGGAGGGTGGCACCGGGCGCGTCCCCACCTGCCAGCGGCCGCGGCGGTGGCACAGGTGCGCCAGGGGCGCGTGGCAGCGCAGCTCGCAGCGCGGGGACACGAAGGCCACCAAGGCGCGTGGCAGGGACTCCATCCCCCCCCGCAGGGACCACTGGCTCCAGCGCTCGGCCCGCGCCCGCCGTGCCAGCCCCGCCTGGTCCTCACCTGTGGGGACACCTGCGGGGACACCCGCGGTGACAACGTGCCGCGAGGGGCCCGCGATGTCCCCAACCCCGGGGTGTCCCCGCCGTGTCCCCTGTCCCAGCCCCCCAGGTGTTCCCGCGGTGTCCCCAGCACCCCGGGTGTCCCCACAATGTTACCCTGTCCCTGTGGCCACCAGGTGCCAGCACCAGCCCAGCAGTGTCCCCTCAGTGTCCCCATAATGTCTCGACCAGCACCAGCCTCGGATGTGTCCCCAGTGTCCCACCATGTGGCAGGGCCAGCCCCAGCAGTGTCCCCACCGTGTGACGGTGGCGGTGGCAGTGCCAGCCCCAGCAGGACGGAGCCCCAGCAGTGTCCCCAGTGTCCCCACCGTGTGGCGGTGGCAGTGCCAGCCCCAGCAGGACTTAGCCCCAGCAGTGTCCCCAATGTCCCCAGTGTCCCCAATGTCCCCACCGTGTGGCGGTGGCAGTGCCAGCCCCAGCAGGACGGAGCCCCAGCAGTGTCCCCAATGTCCCCAATGTCCCCACCGTGTGACAGTGGCAGTGCCAGCCCCAGCAGGACGGAGCCCCAGCAGTGTCCCCAGTGTCCCCAATGTCCCCAGTGTCCCCACCGTGTGACGGTGGCAGTGGCAGTGCCAGCCCCAGCAGGACGGAGCCCCAGCAGTGTCCCCAGTGTCCCCAGTGTCCCCAATGTCCCCACCGTGTGATGGTGGCAGTGGCAGTGGCAGCCCCAGCAGGACGGAGCCCCAGCAGTGTCCCCAGTGTCCCCACAGTGTCCCCACCGTGTGGCGGTGGCAGTGGCAGTGCCAGCCCCAGCAGGACGGAGCCCCAGCAGTGTCCCCAGTGTCCCCAATGTCCCCAATGTCCCCACCGTGTGGCGGTGGCAGTGCCAGCCCCAGCAGGACGGAGCCCCAGCAGTGTCCCCAGTGTCCCCACAGTGTCCCCACCGTGTGGCGGTGGCAGTGCCAGCCCCAGCAGGACGGAGCCCCAGCAGTGTCCCCATTGTCCCCACAGTGTCCCCACCGTGTGGCGGTGGCAGTGCCAGCCCCAGCAGGACGGAGCCCCAGCAGTGTCCCCAGTGTCCCCAATGTCCCCAATGTCCCCAATGTCCCCACCGTGTGGCGGTGGCAGTGCCAGCCCCAGCAGGACGGAGCCCCAGCAGTGTCCCCAGTGTCCCCACCGTGTGGCGGTGGCAGTGCCAGCCCCAGCAGGACGGAGCCCCAGCAGTGTCCCCAATGTCCCCAATGTCCCCAATGTCCCCACCGTGTGGCGGTGGCAGTGCCAGCCCCAGCAGGACGGAGCTGCGCTGTCGCTCGGCCTGGAAGAGCGCGGGGAAGCAGCTGCGCACGCTCAGGGCCCGACTGTCCCCGGCAAACACCCCCCGGCACAGGCTGTCCACGGCCAGCTCTGCCACCTGCGGGGACAGGGACACACAGTGACACAGTGACACAGGGACAGTGACACAGGGACAGTGACACAGGGACAGGGACACAGGGACAGTGACACAGGCTGTCCACGGCCAGCTCTGCCACCTGTGGGGACAGGGACAGTGACACAGGGACAGGGACACAGGGACAGTGACACAGGGACAGTGACACAGGGACAGTGATACAGGCTGTCCACAGCCAGCTCTGCCACCTGCGGGGACAGGGACAGTGACACAGGGACAGTGACACAGGGACAGTGACACAGGGACACAGGCTGTCCACGGCCAGCTCTGCCACCTGCGGGGACAGGGACACACAGTGACACAGTGACACAGGGACAGTGACACAGGGACAGAGACACAGAGACAGTGACAGAGACAGTGACACAGGGACAGTGACACAGGCTGTCCACGGCCAGCTCTGCCACCTGTGGGGACAGGGACACAGGGACACAGGGACACAGGGACAGTGACACAGGCTGTCCACGGCCAGCTCTGCCACCTGCGGGGACAGGGACACACAGTGACACAGTGACACAGGGACAGTGACACAGGGACAGGGACACAGGGACAGTGACACAGTGACACAGGGACAGTGACACAGGCTGTCCATGGCCAGCTCTGCCACCTGCGGGGACAGGGACACAGGGACAGTGACACAGGCTGTCCACGGCCAGCTCTGCCACCTGCGGGGACAGGGACAGTGACACAGGGACAGTGACACAGGCTGTCCACGGCCAGCTCTGCCACCTGTGACACAGGGACACACAGTGACACAGGGACAGTGACACAGGGACACAGGGACAGTGACACAGGCTGTCCACAGCCAGCTCTACCACCTGCGGGGACAGGGACACAGGGACAGTGACACAGTGACACAGGGACAGTGACACAGGCTGTCCACAGCCAGCTCTACCACCTGCGGGGACAGGGACACAGGGACAGTGACACAGGCTGTCCATGGACAGCTCCGCCACCTGGGGGGACAGTGACACAGGGACAGTGACACAGGCTGTCCACAGCCAGCTCTGCCACCTGTGACACAGGGACACACAGTGACACAGGGACAGGGACACAGGGACAGGGACAGTGACACAGGGACAGTGACACAGGGACACAGGGACAGTGACACAGGGACAGTGACAATGACACAGGGACAGTGACAAAGTGACACAGTGACAATGACACAGGACAATGACACAGGACAGTGACACAGGGACGGTGACAATGACACAGGGACAGTGACACAGGGACAGTGACAGTGACACAGGAACAGTGACAGGACAGTGACACAGTGACAATGACACAGGACAGTGACACAGGGACAGGACAGGGACACAGGGACAGTGACAGGACAGTGACAATGACACAGGGACAGTGACAGGACAGTGACACTGTGACAATGACACAGGACAATGGCACAGGGACCCCACCCGCCCCGGGCAGGCCCCGATAAGGCCGGGTGGGGCTTTGGGGTGGGGCTCTGGGGGCGTTATCGGGGTTTTGGGGCTCTAGCAGGTTTTGGGTTCAGTTATGGGGATTTTGGGGCCGCTCTGGGGGATTTTGAGGGGGTTTGGGGGTGTTCACGGGGATTTTTGGGGGGTTCTGAGGGTTTCATGGGTGTTTATGGGCATTTTTGGGGGGATGATGGTGTTTTGGGGGGTTCTGGGGATGTTTATGTGGTTTTTTTTAGGGGTGTGATGAATGTTTTAGGGGTTCAGGTGGTTTTTAGGGGTGTCAATGGGATTTTTTGGGTGGTTCTGAGGGTTTTGGGGGTTCAGGGGATTTTTAGGCGCATTAATGAGAATATTTTGGTGGGTGATGGTGTTTTAGGGGTTCTAGGGATTTTTAGGGTTGTTTATGGGACTTTTTGGGTGGTTCTGATGGTTTAGGGGGTTCAAGTGATTTTTAGGGGTGTTTATGGGAATTTTTGGGCGGTTCTGAAGGTTTCTGGGGTTCTGGTGATTTTTAGGGGTGTCAATGGGATTTTTATGGGGGGGTGATGGTGTTTGGGGGGTTCTGGGGGAGTTAATGGGATTTTTTGGGTGGTTCTGAGGGTTTAGGGGGTTCAGGTGATTTTTAGGGGTGTCAGTGGGATTTTTAGGGGGGGTTACAGTGTTTAGGGGTAGTGGTGATTTTTAGGGGTGTCAATGGGAATTTTTGGGCAGTTCTGAGGGTTTTGGAGGTTCTGGTGATTTTTAGGGGTGTCAATGGGATTTTTATGGGGGGTGATGGTGTTTGGGGGGTTCTGGGGGAGTTAATGGGATTTTTTGGGTGGTTCTGATGGTTTAGGGGTTCAGGTGATTTTTAGGGGTGTCAATGGGAATTTTTGGGCGGTTCTGAGGGTTTTGGGGGTTCAGGTGATTTTTAGGCTCGGGGGCGGCCCCGGGAGGTTTTGGGGTCCCACCTCGGGGCCGAAGCGGCGGCGGGCGAAGGCGTGGGCGCTCTCGTCGGGGCCGGTGCCCGCGGGGGTCAGCAGGTCCCGGAGCACCGCCCCGAGCAGCGGCCGCGAGAACGGCGGCACCGCCCGGAACAGCGGCCTGGGGACACAGGGGTGGCATTGGGGACATGGGGGTGGCACTGGGGACACAGCCAGGAACAGGGACATGGGGACACGGGGACACGGGGGTGGCACTGGGGACATGGCCAGGAACAGGGACATGGGGATGTGGGGACACGGGGGTGGCACTGGGGACATGGGGGTGGCACTGGGGACATGGCCAGGAACAGGGACATGGGGACACGGGGACAATGGTGGTACTGGGGACATGGGGTGGCATTGGGGACATGGCCAGGAACAGGGACCTGGGGACGTGGGGACACAGGGTGGCACTGGGGACACAGCCAGGAACAGGGACATGGGGACACGGGGACAAGGGTGGCACTGGGGACATGGGGGTGGCATTGGGGACATGGGGGTGGCACTGGGGACATGGGGTGGCATTGGGGACATGGGGGTGGCACTGGGGACATGGGGTGGCATTGGGGACATGGGGGTGGCATTGGGGACACGGCATGGAACAGGGACATGGGGACACGGGGACAATGGTGGCACTCGGGACATGGGGTGGCACTGGGGACACGGGGGTGGCATTGGGGACACGGGGGTGGCACTGGGGACACGGCATGGAACAGCGGCCTGGGGACACGGGGACAAGGGTGGCATTGGGGACAAGGGTGGCATTGGGGACACAAAGGTGGCACTGGGGAAACAGCCAGGAACAGGGACCTGGGGACGCGGGGACACAGGGTGGCATTGGGGACATGGGGGTGGCACTGGGGACACGGGGGTGGCACTGGGGACATGGCCTGGAACTGGGACATGGGGACACGGGGACAAGGGTGGCATTGGGGACATGGGGGTGGCACTGGGGACATGGGGGTGGCACTGGGGACACAAAGGTGGCACTGGGGACACGGCATGGAACAGCGGCCTGGGGACACGGGGACAAGGGTGGCATTGGGGACAAGGGTGGCATTGGGGACACAAAGGTGGCACTGGGGACACAGCCAGGAACAGGGACATGGGGAACACAGGGACACAGGGGTGGCAGTGGGGACATGGGGACACACAGGGGTGGCATTGGGGACATGGGGACACAGGGTGGCATTGGGGACACGGTATGGAACAGGGCCCTGGGGACACGGGGACATACAGGGGTGACATGGGGGACATGGGGGTGGCATTGGGGACACAGCCAGGAACAGCACCCTTGGGACACGAGGGTGACATGCGGGAGGGACAGCAGGGACATGGGGGTGGCATTGGGGACAGGGATGGCACAGGGGCCAGGGGACACAGGGAGGTGGCCCGGGGGACACGGGGACACGGGGACACCCACCGCAGCCCCGAGGGCAGAGGGTGCAGGGCCCCCCCCAGGTACAGGAAGCGATTTTGGGACGCCGGGTGGCCCTTGGGGACAGCCAGGACGTCACCGGCCAACCCCAGCTCCGACACCTGCGGGGACACGGACACGGCGCTGCCACTGCGGCCACACGGCTGGGGACCCCAACATCCACCCAGGGACCCCAAAAATTCACCCAGGGACACCCAGAATTCACCTGGGGACCCCAAAAATTCATCCAGGACCCCCCTGCTGGACCCCAGCACTTTGGGACCCTTCTGGCACCCCAAACACAGTCCTGGGGACCCCCCCAAACCCCCCCCAGGACCCCCTGTGTCACCTCAAATCAACCCCCAGGGCCCCTCTGTCCCCCCAAACCCAGACCCAGGGACCCCCCCAGCCCCCTCCGTGCCCCCAGCCCCCCAGTGCCCCCAGACCCCCCCAGCCCCCCAGCCCCCTCAGTGCCCCCCAGCTCCCCCAGCCCCCCTGAACCACTCAGTGCCCCCAGCCCTCCAGACCCCTCAGTGCCCCCCAGCTCCCCCAGGACCCCCCAGTGCCCCCCAGCCCCTGGGACCCCCCAGCCCCCCAGACCCCCCAGACCCCCCCATTGCCCCACAGCCCCTCCCAGCCCCCCTGGACCCCTCAGTGCCCCCGAGCCCCCCGGGGACCCCTCTGGCACCCCAAACCCAGACCCAGGGACCCCCCCCAGCCCCCCAGGACCCCTCAGTGCCCCCAGACCCCCCAGGACCCCTCAGTGCCCCCAGACCCCCCAGGACCCCCCAGTGCCCCCAGACCCCTCCAGCCCCCCCGGACCCCTCAGTGCCCCCAGCCCCCCGGACCCCCCAGCCCCTCGGATCCCTCAGGACCCCCCAGGACCCCCCAGCCCCCCCAGGACCCCCCAGCCCCCCCAGCCCCCCGTACCATGAGCAGGGTCTGGGTCCCCGCGGGCCCGGCGGGCCGGACGCCCCTCGGGCCGTGCTCGAACACGGCGCCCTCGGGGGTCCGCGTGCTCTGCAGCCACCCCCCGAAACGGCCGCTGGCCTCCAGCAGCACCACCTGGGGACCCCCGGCACCCCCAAATCAACCCCGGCCCCCCGGGTCACCCCCGGGACCCCGCCGGAATGGGGGTACCGGGAATCGGGGTCCTGGGGATCTGGGGTTCTGGGGAACTGGGGGGTCCTAGGAGGGAAAAGGGAACCGAGGGAATTGGGGGTCCCGCGGGAATTGGGGGTCAGGAGGAATTGGGAGTCCCGAAGGAATTTGGGGTCCCGGGAGAGAAAAGGGAACCGGGGGAATTGGGGGTCCCGAAGGAATTGGAGGTCAGGGGGAATTGGGGGTCAGGGGAAATTGGGGGTCAGGGGGAATTGGGGGTCAGGGGGAATTGGGGGTCAGGGGAAATTTGGGGCTCCCGGGGCTCCCGGAGGGGCGCTGGGTGATCCGGAAGAGCGGAGGGCCGGACACCGGGAGGGAAAGGGGAGTCGGGGGTCCCGGGACGGAGCGGGGGGACAGCCGGGGGGTCCCGCGGGGGTCGCACGCTCACCTTGGGCGGGCGGGGGGCGCGCAGCAGGTGGAAACAGGCGGCCAGGCCGCTGATGCCGCCGCCCACCACGGCCACGGTGGGCGGCATGGCGGGAGCTGCGGCGGGCACGGTCAGAGCCGCCCGGGACCCCCGCGACCCCCGGGACCCCCGAACCGGACCCGCGGCCGCCGCGCTGGCCACGCCCCCTCCGCCGCTCAGCGGGAAAAGGGGCGGGGCCGCAAGCAGGCGGACCAATGGGAACGCGCAGCGCGGTGATTGACAGCGTGCAGAAGAGCGCGGTGGAGATAAGCCACGCCCATCACGCAGCCAGCCAATCGTCGTGCGCGTCACGCCACGGAGACCACGCCCACCCACAGCTGTCAATCAAACACAAGCCACGCCCCCTCCAGCCCCAAAACTCGGCGCTTTTTGGGGCTTTTTTTAATAAATTTATTCACAAAACCCCCCGGGGCCGCGCCGGCCGCGGCCGCACCCCCCGCACCCCCCTCTCCGCGGGGTCCGGGGGGCTCCCGGGGCGGGGGCACCAGGGGTTCACCCCCCACCCCAGCCCCGACCCCCGGGCGGCTCCGGGCGGGGGTCTCGGGGGTCTCAGGCTCTGCGGCCGGGGGGCTCCTCCAGCTCGTAGAACAGCACGTAGCCCTCGCTGGACGGCACCTGGTTCTCGCTGATGGGCGAGACGCTGCGGGGACACCCTCAGCACCCGCGCCGGGGGCTCTGGGGGTGCCCGGGCGGGGCGGGGGGCGCGGGCAGGGCGGGGGGCACTGACCGGGAATCGTTGTAGACGCGCCAGCCGGCGGGGTCGCGGCAGAAAGCCGTGTAGTGCCCGTAGTGGACGCTGCCCGAGTGGTTGCACAGCGCGTACAGGCTGTAGACAGGGCTGCCTGCAGCGGGGAGGAGGAAGGTCGAGGTTAGGATCACCCCAAAACCCCGAGCCCCCCACCCCAAAAAGCCCCTCGCAGCTCTCCTCACCCGCCTTCTCGCTGGCGAACTCGCGCAGGTTGAGCTGCTGCAGCGGGAAGTCCACGAACACCGAGCATTTCTTGATGGAGTAACGCGTGGTGGAGAACCGGTTCAGGTCTGCCCAGGGTCAAGGCAACAAGGGAACCTCGTGCCCCCTCCCCGCACCCCCAAAAATTTGGGGGGGGAGTCCCAAAGCGAGCGATTCCCAAAGGATACGGAGCACCAGGATGCGTGGGAAGCGCTGGATCGTCAGCTTCTTGGTGCTGCGCGTGCGCTGCCGGCACTTGTCGCACACCTGAGGGCCAGGGGATGCTCAGGAAGGGGCTGGGGGGACAAACTGGGGGGCTGGGGAGGGGGTCACAGGGGTTTTGGGGAGGGTGGGGGGTCCGTCCTCTCACCGGGGCGTTCTCCGAGTCCAGCTCCTCCTCCTTGGTGAAGAGGCTGAAGCAGTCGTGCAGCGAGACCTTCCCCCCGGCAAAGCTTTTCTGGGGGGCCACCAGGTCAGAGAGGGAGTTTGGGGGGTCTGAGGGGGTTTTGGGGGGATCTGAAGGGGTTTTTGGGGGGTCTGAGGGGGTTTTGAAGGGTCTGAAAGGGTTTTGGGGAGGGCTGAGGGTTTTTGAGGTAGTCTGAAAGGTTTCTGAGGGTTCTGAGGGATTTTTGGAGGGGTCTGAAGGGTTTTTGAGAGGTCTGAAGGAGTTTTGGGGAGTCTGAACGGGTTTTGGGAGAGTATGAAGGTTTTTTGAGGTAGTCTGAAGGGTTTTTTGGGTGGTCTGACAGGTTTTTGGGTGGTCTGACAGGTTTCTGGGGTCACCCCAGCCCTACCTTTGGGATGGGCAGCGAGAGGTCGCAGAACACCTCGAAGGTGGTGGAGCGGTAGCCGCAGGCCTGGCACTTGAGGCAGCTCTTCAGCTGCCCCACAAAGAGATCTGGGGGGCAAAGGGGGAGGTCAGGGGGGCACCCCCAGAAGTTTTGGGGTCCAGGGGAGTTGGGGGCACACCCCCATTGCCAAGACTCACCCACGATCTTGCTGTCCTCCCTCTCCAGGTAGCGCTTCCACATCTGGTTGGCGCGTTCGTCGTCGCTGCGGGCGGGCGACACCGGGGGCGGGCTGGGCTCAGCTGTCCCCCAAAATTCGGGGTTCCCCTTTTCCCCAGCAGCCCTTCCCTCCTCTCAGCCTCACCTGAGCGTTTCGGGGTCCTCCAGGGCCGGGGGTCTCCGTGTGTCTGACAGGATGCTGGGGGTGCGCCGGCCCTTCCTGTTGATCTCCACGTGCAGCCGGTCCATGAAGAACTTGAGGAATTCCTGCGCGTCCTGCTGGCTGCGGGGACCACGCTCTGTGCCCACCCCGGCCTCGGCCAGGGGGGCACCCCGAAAGGTTTTTTGGGGGGTGTCTCACCTGTAGCCCGTGAAGGAGGGCACGTATTTTTGGAACACGGCCTTGAAGCGCCCGGGGTTGACGGCCTCGGAGGAGTCGGGGTGCCAGAGCGCGGCGATGACATCGGCGAAGGCTGTGGGGACGTGGTGGCATCAGGTCCCCACGAGGGGGTTCTGTAACGCTCTGGGGGGGCTGTGGGAGTTTTGGGGGGTCTGTCCCACCTTCGGTGAGCTCCTGGGGGGCGCGGGGACCGGGGGGCTGCTCCTGCTGGAAGTCCCGGCGCAGGCAGTAGTCCCGCAGCGGTTTGGTGCTGCTCAGGCACTGCAGCACCGCGTTCATGAAGCACTGCCAGGGGGGACACAGGGACATCGTGGCATGTGGCATTGTCACCAGCGGGCCCTCGGGGTGTCCCCTCCACCCCGTGCGGATGGGGTGGTTCCCCGGGGGTCACCAGTGGGTGGGACTGGGGTGGGACAGCCACAGAGAGGCTCTGGACACTGAGGTGACCCCCAGGTGACACCAAGGGACCCTAAAGGACACCAAAGGGACCCTGAAGGACACCAGAGGGACCCTAAAGGACACCAAAGGAACCCTAAAGGACACCAAGGGACCCTTAAGGACACCAAAGGGACCCTGAAGGACACCAGAGGGACCCTAAAGGACACCAAAGGAACCCTGAAGGACACCAAAGGGACCCTAAAGTACACCAGAGGGACCCAAAAGGACACCAAGGGACCCTAAAGGACACCAAAGGGATCCCTAAAAGACACCAGAGGGACCCCAAATCCCTCCACACCCAGGACAGAGGGACAGGAGCGTTGGGGACAGCGCTGGGGGAGCCCTGGCAATGTGACATCCCAGCAGGAGAGGAGGGTGGGACACGGCCACCGAGCATGGGGGACCCCGAGGGGACCCCAAATCCCTCCCGCCCCCAGAACAGAACCCCGGCAGTGTTACACTTTACCGTGTTGCCCAAATTCCTGAGGCCGACGTGGCCCGAGCCCAGCAGCAGCGTGTGGTGGGTCTGGGGGGACAGCGAGGGACACCCGGTGAGCCGCGCCCCGGCCCCTCGGCCATCCCCCCCGGGCATCCCCCGCCGCCGGTGGCTTCACCTCGCCGGTGAGCAGCAGCAGCCCCATAACCGCCGTGTGCACCACGGACTCGGAGATGTCGGTGGCCCGGCCCTGGAGCTCCCGGCGGGTCAGCAGCGAGCGCTGCAGCTTCCGCGGCAGCTCCGCCAGCGGGGCTCCCTGCAGCCCCGGCATGCCGCCACCGGGACCGGGACCGGGACCGGGACCGGGACCGGGACCGGGACCGGGGGCACCGCTGCCGCTCACCGGCGGGTCCCCTCCCCCTCAGCTCATTAGCTGATCCGATTCCCCCGGCTATTCTGGGCCGCGCTCATCCCGGGGGATTAATTAGCCGGAGCTGCCCCGGGGGACGGCGAGAGCCCGGAGGGGCGCCGAGGTAAACGCCCCCCAAAAAGCTCTCCCCGCTTTCCCCCCGAGGGGTTTCGGGGGCTCGGCGGGGCTGCGGGACACCCCGAGGTGGCGCTGGGGACATCCCGAGGGGGGACAAGGCCGGGCGGCCGTGCCCGGTGGGGTTTTGGGGATTACGATCCCCCCACACGTGGCCGGGCAGGTGCGGGATGGGCCGGGGGGGGAGGCGGATGCGGAAACGGGGAGGGGGCAGCGGCCACCCCCGGCCACCTCAGTGCCACCTGAGTGTCACCTGAGTGCCACCCGTGGTCACACCGGAGCTGTGGGGACAGAACCCAGAGCCCCCGGGATGGCACCGGGCGCCCCCAGCCCCACTGAGCTGTGGGGGACAGCAGCAACCCGCACCCCCAGAGTTGTGGGGGTCCCCAAAAGAGGACCAGGGGACAGGTGAGACGGCCACCACCGTGCCACCCTGGTGATGTCACCGAGCCTGAGAGCGGGGACGGCGTGGGGGTCTCAAAGAGTCCCCAAGGCTGGGGACAGTGTGCGGGTCTCAATGTGTCCCCAAAGATGGGGACAGTGAGGGGGTCTCAAAATGTCCCCAGTGCTGGGGACACCGCAGGGATCACACCAGAGCTGGGGACAGTGTGGGGGTCTCAAAGTGTCCCCAAGGCTGGGGACACTGCAGGGGTCTCAAAGTGTCCCCAAAGTTGGGGACAGCGTGGGGGTCTCAAAGTGTCCCCAAGGCTGGGGACAGCACAGAGGTCTCAAAGTGTCCCCAAGGCTGGGGACAGTGTGGGAGTTTCAAAGTGTCCCCAAAGCTGGGGACACCGTAGGGGTCTCAAAGTGTCCCCAAGGCTGGGGACAGCGTGGGGGTCTCAACACGTCCCCGAGGCCGGGGACACCGCGGGGCCCCCGCCACCCCCCGCCCCCTGCCCGGGGCTCTTACGGCGGCCGCCTTGTCCTCGGTGCGGCCGGGCGCGGGGCTGCCGGGGCCGTGGCCGAACGGGGGGTCGGAGCGGGCGCGGGGGCCGCCCTCGGGACGCACGGAGAGCAGCGGCGGGGCGGCTTTGCCGTCGGGCCCGGCGGCCACCGTGACCCTGCGCAGCGAGGAGCTCCTGCGGAGCGCCAGCGCGCCCAGCGGGTGCCCGCAGTCCCTGAGCACCAGGCGGCTCAGCGCCACCGCCACGTCCTCGGCGCGGCTGGGGACACCGGGCACACCGGGGACGCCGCCGGTACCGCCGCCGCCTCCCTGGCTCAGGTCGCCGATGCTGATGGATTTGGAGCGGGCCAAGTTGCTCCGGCGCCGCTCGGCCGCGCTGGGCAGCGAGAAGGAAGCGCTGCCGGGCACCTGCGGGGCACCACCGGGCACCCGGACGCCGTGATCGGCTTTGAGCGGCCCCCGGCGAGCCCCCGGCCCGCGGGGAGCGGGGTCCCCCCGTTTGGCCGCCCGGCCCCGCTCCAGCTCCAGCTTCTTGGGTCGGGGGTCGTCGGGCGGGGGGCGCGGGGGCAGCAGGCGCAGTTTGGGGGCCGGGGAGAGCCCGGTGGGCGCGGCATGGCGCTCCTGGCTCAGCGCTCGGTGCCCGCTGGGCAGGCGGGAGCCCGCCCGGGGCTGCGCGCTCAGCACGGCGCCGCCGGGGTCCCTGGGGCGAGCCAGGCGGTGCTCCGAGGCCTGGGGCATGGCGGGGCCTGCGGGGACAGCGACAGCTCGGTGACAGGGCGGGTGGCACCGCCGCGGGGAGCGGGGCACGAGCCCACGGGGAACGGGCACCCACCTGCTCACAGCCCCCCGCGCCCGGCGGCCGGACACAGCGTCCCGTCGGCGGGGGCCCTGCGGGGACGCGGTGGCACCGGGAGGGTCCCCAAAACCTCGGAGGGACCCCCCGGCTCCGTGGCAGCCTCGCGGTGAGTCCCGGTAGGGTTGGGAGCACCGGGAGTGCGCCCCCCACCCACCCAGGCGGGGTCCTGCTCCCCGGGGAGGGGATGGGTGGTCCCGGAGGGGCGGAGGACAAAGCCCCGGTAGCCCCGGGGTTGGGGCGGGGGTCGCCCCGAGGCTTGGCTGGGAAAGGCCGCTGGAAAAACCCCCGGACCCCCCAAAAGGGGTTCCCGCAGCCCCCCCGGATCCCTCCCGGTGCCCCCCATCACCCCGGGCCCCGCCCCCCTCTCCCGGCCCGGGGGTATCCCTTGCCCCCCCCGTCTCCCCCCCACCGGTTCCTCCCCCCCGCTCCCCCGGTGCTCCCCCCGCTGCCCCCCCCCATCACCCCGGTACCCCCGCCCCCCCCGGGGCCCTGTCCCGCACCCCCCGGCCGGCCCCGCGGCTGCCCTGGGGGGTGTGCCCGCTGTCCCCGAGCCCCCCCGGCCCCGAGTGCCGCCCCCCGGGCCCCCCCGCACCCCTCGGCGGGGTCGCCCCGCGGTCCCCCCGCACCTCCCGCGGGCCGCCATGGCAACGACTCCCGCCGCACCCGCCGCCATCTTTGTTCCTCCCGCCGCCGGCCCCGCCCCCGCCGGCTTCACCGCCGGCTCTGCGCATGCGCCGCTCCCTCTCGGCCACGCCCCTCCCCGGCGCCGCGCGTCGCCATGGAAACCGCGCGGCGTCTTAAAGGGGCCGCGACCCGCGCGGGTTTTGGGGGGCGGGGTTGGGGGACACCGGGGGGTGTTGGGGACAAATCCCCCCAAAATAACAAAGCGCCACTAAATCGGGGTTCAGCGTTTATTGGCGAGCGGCAGCCAAGCGGTGGGGAGGGGTGGCAGCAGCTGGGAGGGGAAGGGTGGGACCCTCCAAAGTGGGGGGACCCCTAAAGGGAGAGGGAGGGGACCCCCAAGGGGAGGGGACCCCCAAAGTCCCCCCCCACCCCCTCGTTGGTCACTTGTCCTTGTGCTGGATGAGGCCTTTGGAGATCAGGTCCGGGATCTCCACGGCCAGCCAGGGACCGAGCTGGGGGGACAGGGGTCACTGCTGAGGGGACACCCCTGGGACGTGTCACACCCCAAAATGTGACAGACCCCCTCGGTGTCACCCCCCAAAATGTGTCACCTCTCCTTGGTGTCACACATCCGGGATGTGTCACACCCCAAAATGTGACAGACCCCCTCGGTGTCACCCCCCAAAATGTGTCAAACCCCCTCGGTGTCACCCCCCCAAAATATGTCACCTCCCCCCTCGGTGTCATCCTCCAAAATGTGTCACCCCTCCATGGGTGACCTCCCGGTGTCCTCAATGTCACCCCCCGTGTCCCGTCCTGGTGCCCCCCTGGTGTCCCTGCTCTGTGTCCCCTCCCCTGTCCCCGGTGTCCCCCCTCAGTGTCCCCCCCATGTCCCCTCCCGGTGTCCCCAATGTGTCCCCCCTGTCCCCGCTCACCCCCAGTGCCATCAGGTGTGCCAGTCCGAACTTGGGCACGTTCCTGGCCCACAGCGGCTTGAAGTGGTCACTGAGGCAGATCTTGCCCCCCCTGAGGGACCCCCGACCGTCAGAGCCCCCCGGGACCCCCCAAAACACCCCCAGGGACCCCCCAAAACCCGGGGATGCCCCTGAGCCCCCTGGGACCCCCGCAGTGACCACCCAAAATCCCGGGAACCCCCCACCAAGGACCCCCATAACCCCCCAAAACCCCTTAGTGACCCCCAAGCCCCAAACCCTCCCTAGAACCTCCCCAGGAGCCCACCCAGGACCCCCCAAACTCCCCTAGGACCCCCCAAGCCCCCCCCAACCCAGCTTAGAACCTCCCCAGGACCCCCAAACCATCCCTAGAACCCCCCCAGGACCCTCAAACTCCCACCCAGGACCCCCCAAACCCTCTCTAGAACCCCCCCAAACCTCCCAGGACCCCCAAACCATCCCTAGAACCCCCCCAGGACCCTCAAACCCCCACCCAGGACCCCCCAAACCCTCTCTAGAAACCCCCCCAAACCTCCCCAGGACCCCCAAATCATCCCTAGAACCCCCCCAGGACACCCCAAAACCCCCCCAGGACCCCCCAGACCTCCCCAGGACCCCCAAACCATCCCTAGAACACCCCCAGGACCCTCAAACCCCCACCCAGGACCCCCCAAACCATCCCTAGAACCCCCCCAGGACCCTCAAACCCCCACCCAGGACACCCCAAACCCTCTCTAGAACCCCCCTAAACCTCCCCAGGACCCCCAAACCATCCCTAGAACCCCCCCAGGACCCTCAAACCCCCACCCAGGACCCCCCAAACCCTCTCTAGAAACCCCCCCCCACCTCCCCAGGACCCCCCAACCATCCCTAGAACCCCCCCAGGACACCCCAAAACCCCCCCATGACCCCCCAAACTTCCCTAGGACCCCCCAAACTCCCCTAGGACCCCCTCAGGACCCCCCAAACCCTTCCTAGAACCCACCCAAGACCCCCCCAAACCCCCAAACCCTCCCTAGAACCCCCCCAGGACCCCACCAAACCCCCCCAAACCCACACAGGACCCCCCAAACCCTCCCTAGAACCCCCCAGGACCCCCCCCAAACCCCCTCCCAAACCCCCAAACCCTCCCTAGAACCCCCAGGACCCCCCTAGAACCCCCCAAACCCCCCAGGACCCCCAAACCCCACCGGTACATCTTGGCCGTTTTCCCGTCCAGCTCGGGGATGGCGATCTCGGGGGCGGTGCCCGGGTACGTCACCGGGATCTGGGGGGGTCAGGGGGGGTCAGGACCCCCTCGGGACCCCCCAAAATCCCCAAACCCCCCCCCGGAGCCCCCCTGCTCACCTCGAACTCGATGCTGAACTCGTAGCGCAGCAGCTCATGGATGTACCAGCAGCGCCCACTCCAGCTGGGGGGGCCAGGGACCCCAAAAACCGCTCAGGGACCCCCCAAAACCCCTCAGGAACCCCCAAAAAACCCCTCAGGGACCACCCCATAACCCCTCAGCGACCCCACAAAACCCCTCAGGGACCTCCAAAACCCCTCAGGGACCCCCAAAAACCCCTCAGGGACCCCCAAAAAACCCTCAGGGACCCCAAAAACCGCTCAGGGACTCCCTGAAACCCATCAGGGACCCCAAAAACCGCTCAGGGAACCCCCAAAAACCCCTCAGGGACCCCCCAAAAACCCCTCAGGGACCCATCAAACTGCTCAGGGACCCCCAAAACCCCCCCAAAACTCCTCAAGGACCCCCCAAAACCCCTCAGGGACCCCCAAAACCCCTCAGGGACCCCCCAAAACCTCTCAGGGGCCCCTCCAAACCCCTCAGGGACCCCCAAAAACCCCTCAGGGACCCCCCAAAAACCCCTCAGGGACCCATCAAACTGCTCAGGGACCCCCAAAACCCCTCAGGGACCCCCCAAAGCGCTCAGGGACCCTAAAAAACCGCCCAGGGACCCCCCAAAAACCGCTCAGGGACCCACCCGGGGGTCCCGGTGTGCCCATCCCGGGGGTCCCGGAGCCCCCCTCCCCCCCTCACCGGGTGCCCTCGGGGTTGGACTCCAGGCGGAACCAGTCGGTGTCGGCGCGTTTGTTGTTCTCCACGTACTGCGGGGACACCGGGGGGTCACCGGTACCGGGAGGCGGTCACCGGTACCGGAGGGAGTCACCGGTACCGGGGAAGGGGGGTCACTGGTACTGGGGGGGATTCACTGGTACCGGGGGGAGGATAACCGGTACCGGGGAAGGGTCGCCGGTACCGGGAGAGGTGGGGAGGGGGTCACCGGTACCGGGGGAGGGTCGGTCACCGGTACCGGGGGACACGCCGCACCTGGATGAGCGCCCGGTACTCCTCCCGCAGCCGCTCGGCCCAGCCCTCGCGGTCCCGCGGCCCCGCCGGTGCCCGCAGCAGCGGCAGCTCCGCCACCGCCCGCCGCGCCGCCGCCTCCGCCATGGCCCGGCCCCGCCATGCCGCCCCGCCGGAAGTGACGTGGCGCCGCCACCGCCGCCCGGGGCCGCCATCTTTTCTACGGGCGCGGCGGGAGAGGTGACGGCGCCGCCGCCATCTTGGGTGAGGGCACGACTGGCGGGTGAGGCCGCAGCTCCGCCGCCATCTTGGGTGAGGGCACAGCCGGCGGTTGAGGCCGCCGCGCTGCCGCCATCTTTAGTGATGGCAGCGAAGTGACGTGAATGGTGGGCGGGGCTTGGGTGGGGAGGCACCGCCCCCCTCCCCAGGGACCGCCCCCAACAGCGACGGGGACCCCCCCCCCCCCAAAATACCGATAGGGACCCCCCACACCCTCCCCAGGGACCGCCCCCTCCCCAGGGACCCCCCCTCTCCCACAGGGACCCCCCCCACAGCAACGGGGACCCCCCTTAGCCCTAAGGACCCCCCTCCCACCGATCCCCCCCATAATCCCAGAGACCCCCCATAACACCAAGGACTCCCCCACAGCCCCAGGGACCCCCCCAGACCCAATTTAAGGACGCGCGGGGGGGGTCTCAGGGCTTTATTTGGGGTTCTGGGATGGGCTCAGGGCTGGATTTGGGGTCCATGGGGGGGGTCTCTGAGGGTCTCGGGGGGTCTCGGGGGTCTCGAGGCTGTCCCGGGGATCTCAGGGGGTCTCAGGGGATATCGGGGCTGTTTTGAGGTCCGTTTGGGGGTCTCGGGGGGTGCCGGGGCTGTCCCGGGGATCTCTCAGGGGGTGTCGGGGGGTGCCGGGGCTGTCCCGGGGGTCTCCCAGGGGGTCTCAGGGGGTCTCCTCGGGGGTGCCGGGGGTCCCCAGGCGCAGCAGGGAGGAGAACAGCCCCATCACGCCGCTCTGCAGCTCCCGGGCCAGCGGTTCCAGCTGCGCGTTAGCCCGGCCCAGGTACAGCCTAAGGGAGAGCGCCGTCAGCGGGGGGCTGGGCAGGGGTCCCGAGCAGGGGAGGGGGCTGGGGAGGGGTCCCGGGATGAGGAGGGGTCCTGGATAGAGGTCCCGAGGAGGGGAGGGGTCCCGGGGATGGAGGGGAGGGGTCCCGGGGTGAGGAGGGGTCTCGGGAAGGGAGGGTAGGGGTCCCGGGGATGGAGGGAAGGGGGCTGGGGAGGGGTCCCGGGGTGGGGAGGGGTCTCGGGAAGAGAGTGGAGGGGTCCTGAGGAGGGGTCCCGGGCAGGGGAGGGGTCTGGGGAGCAGTCCCGGGGTGAGGAGGGGTCTCGGGAAGAGAGTGGAGGGGTCCTGAGGAGGGGTCCCGGGCAGGGGAGGGGTCCTGGAGAGAGGTCCCGAGAAGGGGAGGGGAGGGAAGGGGTCCCGGGAGGGTCCCGGAGTGGGGAGGGGTCCCGGGGAAGGAGGGGGTCCCATGTGGGGAGGGGTCCCGAGGAAAAAGGGGAGTGGTTTCGAGTGAAGAGGGGGCCCGGGGAAGGAGGGGAGGGGTCCCAGGTAGGGGAGGTGTCCCAGGGAGGGGTCCCGGGGAGGGGTCCCAGGTAGGGGTCCCCGGTAGGGGAGGGGTCCCGAGTGGGGAGGTGTCCCGGGGAGGGGTCCCGGGGGAGGGGTCCCGAGTGGGGAGGGGTCCCGAGTGGGGAGGGGTCCCGGGGAGGGGTCCCGAGTGGGGAGGGGTCCCCGCCGCCCCCCGTACTCGGCCTGGCTGCGCAGCTCCTCGGGCCGCAGCTGCGGCGGCAGCTCCCGGGCCACCAGCTCGGTCAGGCTCTGCAGGTGGCGGCTGAAGAAATCCGCGGGCTCCGGGACCCCCGGGACCCCCGGGACCCCCTCGCTCGCCGCCTCCCGCCGCTCCAGCGCGGCCCCGGGGCGGCCGGCGACGAACAGGAGCAGCAGCGCGGCCAGCGGGAGCCTCATGGCTGCGGGGACAGCGTGGGGACACCGTGGGGACAGCGTGGGGACACCGTGGGGACACCGTGGGGACGTGTGCCACTCGTGTCCCTGCGGCCGCAGACCCGCTGGGGCTTCCAGCCCATCCCCGTCCCGTTCCTGCCCCACAGAAACTTCCAACCCCATAAAAACTTCCAACCCCATAGAAATTTCCAGCCCCATCCCCATTCTGTTCCTGCCCCATAAAAACTTTCAGCCCCATAAAAAATTCCAACCCCACAGAAATTTCCAACCCCATCCCATCCCATTCCTGCCCCATAAAAACTTCCAACCCCATAAAAATTTCCAGCCCCAAATCCCAATCCCGATCCCAAATCCCAACCCGGATCCCAATCCTAAATCCCAACCCCAGCCCCAAATTCAAATCCCAGCCCCAAATCCCAACCCGAATCCCAAATCCCAACCCCAGTCCCAAATCTGATCCCAAATCCCAGCCCCAAATCCCGATCCCGATCCCAAATCCCAACCCTAAATTCCAACCCCAGCCCGAAATCCCAGTCCCACACCCCAATCCCTGTCCCTGTCCCCATCCCTGTCCCTGTCCCCGTCCCTCTCACCTGCCCAGGTGCCTCTGCAGTTTTGGGGTCCCCCCTCCCCCGGCCCCGTTTTTATCCCAGTCCCACCCCCCCCGGCAAACACGGTGGGGCCGAGGGGCAGCGCGGGGGGGCCCCGTGTCCCCTCCGTGTCCCCTCCCCTTGTCCCCCGTGTCCCCTCCCCTTGTCCCCCGTGTCCCCTGCCCTGTCCCCTCTGTGTTCCCTGTGTCCCACCCCTTGTCCCCTCTGTGTCCCCCTCGCTGTCCCCTGCCCATGTCCCCTGCCCTGTCCCCAGTGTCCCCTCTGTGTCACCCCCTTGTCCCCCCCGTGTCCCCTCTATGTCCCCTCTATGTCCCCCCATGTCCCCCCATGTCCCCCCGTGTCCCCAAAGTTGTCGCCTGCGCTGTCCCCGACCCTCGGCCCCTGGCGGGAGGGGACAGAGGGGACAGTCCGGCCGCGCTGGGGACACTGGGGCAAAGGGCGGGGGTGGCGCTGGCGACAAAAGGTCAGAGTCCCCCCGGTCACCGTGGGGATGGGGACACGGCAGGGGACAGCGCGGCCACAGAGGTGGCGCGGGGAGGGGACAGTGGGCTGAGGAGGTGGGGACAGCGGGGGACACGGGGCGGGGTGTTGGGACAGAGCCAGGACGGTCCAGCCATGGTGGGGGGGGTGGGGGACACGACACGGGACACGACACAGGACACGACACAGGACACGACACAGGACACGACACGGGACACGCGGGGGGTGACAAGAGGGGACACGGGCAGGGGAGGTGGCATGAGAGGGAAGATGGGATGGGGGGAGTCCAGGGATGCGGGGGGGACGTGGAGGTGACGGGACACGCGGGAATTTGGGGACAATGACCCAAACTGTCCCCAAATTTGGGGGACAGGAGGGTGGCCACGGAACGTCTCCTCTCGGGTGCGGATGTCCGGAGGGGTCGCATTCCATCGCTGCCCCGCCCACCCCTCTCAGCCAATGGGCGGCGCGCGTTTGCCCGTAGTCAAGATGGCAGCGGCGCCTCCCGTGAAGGCGCTCCGGGCGGCGCCGCCCGCGATGGCGGCGGCCGGCGGGGGCCCGTAGGGGCCATGGGCAGCGGCGAGGGCCGAGCCCCGCGGCGGGGCCGGGCCCGCGGCAACCCCGGCAGCTTCGACGGGCTGCACCGGAGCTGCAAAGGTGCGGGGCACCGGGGCCGTGGGGACAGCGGGGCTATGGGGGACACCGGGACCGGGAGGGGGCACCGGGGCTGGGGGACAGCGGGGCCATGGGGACAGCGGGGCCATGGGGACAGCGGGGCTATGGGGACAGCGGGGCTATGGGGGACACCGGGACCGGGAGGGGCACCGGGGCTGGGGGACACCGGCGTGACGAGGGGACAGCGGGGCCATGGGGACAGCGGGGGTGGCAGCTTTGTCCCCTGGGGGGGTGGCACGGGGGGGACATTGCTGTCCCCAAGAAGGGGTGGTGGGTGTCACCAAGGGGGTGACAGCCGTGTCCCCAGTGGGTGACAGCCATTCCTGGGGGTGACAGCCGTGTCCCCAGTGGGTGACAGCCATTCCTGGGGGTGACAGCCATGTCTGGGGGTGACAGCCGTGTCCCCAGTGGGTGACAGCCATTCCTGGGGGTGACAGCCATTCCTGGGGGTGACAGCCGTGTCCCCAGTGGGTGACAGCCATTCCTGGGGGTGACAGCCATGTCTGGGGGTGACAGCCATGTCCCCAGTGGGTGACAGCCATTCCTGGGGGTGACAGCTGTGTCCCCAGGGGGTGACAGCCATTCCTGGGGGTGACAGCCGTGTCTGGGGGTGACAGCCGTGTCTGGGGGTGACAGCCGTGTCCCCAGTGGGTGACAGCCATTCCTGGGGGTGACAGCCGTGTCCCCAAGGGGGTGACAGCCGTGTCCCCAGCGAGGTGACAGCCGTGTCCCCCCAGAGGTGTTCCCGCCGCAGATGGAGGGGGTGAAGCTGATCGTCACCAAGACCCTGAGCAGCCACTTCCAGGTCGGGCAGGGGACACTTGGGGACACCACGGGGTGGCCCCCAGCGCTGTCCGTGTCCCCCGTGACTGCCGGTGTCCCCACAGGTGACACACACGGTGCACATGAGCACCCTGGGCCCCTCCGGCTACCGCTTCAACGCCACCTTCCTGGGGGACCGCCAGCTCGGGCCCACCGAGGTGACACCGCGGGTGGCACCCCCGGGCGGGGGTGGCACCGGGCGGTCCCAGGGGGTGGCAGGGCCTGGGGACATCGCGGCCATCTGTGACCTCGGGGTGGGGGGTGGCTGCGGGGTGGCCCTGTGGGGGACATTGGTGGCCTCGGGGTGGTCGGTGGCCTTGGGGTCATTGGTGGCCTTGGGGTCATTGGTGGCCTTGGGGACATTGGCAGCCTTGGGGTCATTGGTGGCCTTGGGGACATTGGTGGCCCTGGGTGGTCCCAGGTGGCCCTGGGTTCGTTGGTGGCCACAAGGCCGTGGCTGGAGCTGGGGGTGCTCAGTGGTGGCCCCGTGGCCGTCCCTGTGTCCCCCTGTCCCCATGGGTGTCCCTGTGGGTGTCTCTGTGGGTGTCCCGGTGTCCCCGTGTCCCCGTGGGTGCCCCGTGGGTGTCCCCGTGTCCCTGTGGGTGTCCCTGTGGGGTGTCCCCATGTCCCTGTGGGTGTCCCTGTGGGGTGTCCCCTTGTCCCCGTGGGTGTCCCTGTGGGGTGTCCCCTGTCCCTGTGGGTGTCCCTGTGGGGTGTCCCCTTGTCCCTGTGGGTGTCCCCATGGGTGTCCTGGTGTCCCCGTGGGTGCCCTGTGGGTGTCCCTGTGGGTGTCCCAGTGTCCCCCTGTCCCCGTGGTTGTCCTGGTGTCCCCGTGGGTGCCCTGTGGGTGTCCCGTGGGTCCCCCTGTCCCCGTGGGTGTGCCCCTGTCCCCGTGGGTGCCCTGTGGGTGTCCCTGTGGGTGCCCCGTGGGTGTCCCTGTGGGTGCCCCGTGGGTGTCCCGTGGGTCCCTCTGTCCCCGTGGGTGTCCCCCTGTCCCCGTGGGTGCCCCATAGGTGTCTCCGTGGGTGTCCCCTGTCCCTGTGGGTGTCCCTGTGGGGTGTCCCCTTGTCCCCGTGGGTGTCCCTGTGTCCCCCTGTCCCCGTGGGTGTCCCCCTGTCCCCGTGGGTGTCCCCCTGTCCCCGTGGGTGTCCACGTGGGTGTCCCCGTGGGTGTCCCCTGTCCCTGTGGGTGTCCCTGTGGGGTGTCCCCTTGTCCCTGTGGGTGTCCCTGTGTCCCCCTGTCCCCGTGGGTGTCCCCCTGTCCCCGTGGGTGCCCCATAGGTGTCTCCGTGGGTGTCCCCTGTCCCTGTGGATGTCCCCGTGGGTGCCCTGTGGGTGTCCCCGTGGGTGTCCTGGTGTCCCCGTGGGTGTCCTGGTGTCCCCATGGGTGCCCTGTGGGTGTCCCCGTGTCCCCGTGGGTGCCCTGTGGGTGTCCCCGTGGGTCCCCCTGTCCCCATGGGTGTGCCCCTGTCCCTGTGGGTGCCCTGTGGGTGTCTCCGTGGGTGTCCTGGTGTCCCCGTGGGTGCCCCGTGGGTGTCCCCGTGGGTGCCCCGTGGGTGTCCCCAGGCAGCCGCGCTGTCCCCAGGTGTTCCCCACGCTGCTCGGGGACATGGACAGCGCCGGCAGCCTGAACGCGCAGGTGCTGCAGCTGCTGGGGGAGCGCCTCCGCACCAAGGCCGTCTTCCAGGTGAGCCTGTCACCCCCGTGTCACCCTGTGTCACCCCGTGTCACCCCAGTGTGTCACCCCCTGTGTCACCCCCTGTGTCACCCGTGTCCCTGCGCTGTCCCCAGGCGCAGCGCTCCCGCTTTGTGACGTGGCAGTTTGACGCCGAGTACCGGGGGGACGACTGCACGGCCGCGCTGACGCTGGGCAACCCCGACCTGCTGGCCGGCTCCGGTGAGTGCTGCTGGCCCTGGTAGCCACAGGGCTGTCCTGGTAGCCACAGGGCTGTCCTGCTAGCCACAGGGCCGTCCTGCTAGCCACAGGGCTGTCCTGCTAGCCACAGGGCTGTCCTGCTAGCCACAGGGCTGTCGTGGTAGCCACAGGGCTGTCCTGCTAGCCACAGGGCTGTCCTGGTAGCCACAGGGCTGTCCTGCTAGCCACAGGGCCGTCCTGCTAGCCACAGGGCTGTCCTGGTAGCCACAGGGCTGTCCTGCTAGCCACAAGGCTGTCCTGGTAGCCACAGGGCTGTCCTGGTAGCCACAGGGCTGTCCTGGTAGCCACAGGGCTGTCCTGGTAGCCACAGGGCTGTCCTGGTAGCCACAGGGCTGTCCTGCTAGCCACAGGGCCATCCTGCTAGCCACAGGGCTGTCCTGCTAGCCACAGGGCTGTCCTGGTAGCCACAGGGCCATCCTGGTAGCCACAGGGCTGTCCTGGTAGCCACAAGGCTGTCGTGGTAGCCACAGGGCCGTCCTGGTAGCCACAGGGCCGTCCTGGTAGCCACAGGGCTGTCCTGCTGGCCACAAGGCCGTCCTGCTAGCCACAAGGCTGTCGTGGTAGCCACAAGGCTGTCCTGGTAGTCACAGGGCTGTCCTGGTAGCCACAGTGCTGTCCTGCTAGCCACAGGGCTGTCCTGGTAGCCACAAGGCTGTCCTGGTAGCCACAGGGCCGTCCTGCTAGCCACAAGGCTGTCCTGGTAGCCACAGGGCTGTCGTGGTAGCCACAGGGCTGTCATGGTAGCCACAGGGCTGTCCTGGTAGCCACAGGGCCATCCTGGTAGCCACAAGGCTGTCCTGCTAGCCACAGGGCCGTCCTGGTAGCCACAGGGCCATCCTGCTAGCCACAGGGCTGTCCTGCTAGCCACAAGGCTGTCGTGGTAGCCACAGGGCCATCCTGCTAGCCATAAGGCTGTCGTCGTAGCCACAGGGCTGTCCTGGTAGCCACAGGGCTGTCCTGGTAGCCACAGGGCCGTCCTGGTAGCCACAGGTCTGTCCTGGTAGACACAGGGCTGTCCTGCTAGCCACAGGGCTGTCCTGCTAGCCACAGGGCCATCCTGGTAGCCACAGGGCTGTCTTGGTAGCCACAGGGCTGTCCTGGTAGCCACAGGGCCGTCCTGGTAGCCACAGGTCTGTCCTGGTAGACACAGGGCCGTCCTGGTAGCCACAAGGCTGTCGTGGTAGCCACAGGGCCATCCTGGTAGCCACAAGGCTGTCCTGGTAGCCACAAGGCTGTCCTGCTAGCCACAGGGCCATCCTGGTAGCCACAGGGCCGTCCTGGTAGCCACAGGGCCGTCCTGCTAGCCACAAGGCTGTCGTGGTAGCCACAAGGCTGTCGTGGTAGCCACAGGGCCGTCCTGCTAGCCACAGGGCCGTCCTGGTAGCCACAGGGCCGTCCTGCTAGCCACAAGGCTGTCCTGGTAGTCACAGGGCTGTCCTGGTAGCCACAAGGCTGTCGTGGTAGCCACAGGGCTGTCCTGGTAGCCACAGTGCTGTCCTGGTAGCCACAGGGCTGTCCTGGTAGCCACAGGGCCGTCCTGCTAGCCACAGGGCTGTTCTGCTAGCCACAGGGCTGTCCTGCTAGCCACAGGGCTGTCCTGCTAGCCACAGGGCTGTCCTGGTAGCCACAGGGCCGTCCTGCTAGCCACAAGGCTGTCCTGCTAGCCACAGGGCCGTCCTGCTAGCCACAAGGCTGTCGTGGTAGCCACAGGGCTGTCCTGCTAGCCACAGGGCTGTCCTGCTAGCCACAAGGCTGTCGTGGTAGCCACAGGGCCATCCTGGTAGCCACAGGGCTGTCCTGCTAGCCACAGGGCCGTCCTGCTAGCCATGCAGCCATCCTGGTAGCCACAGGGCTGTCGTGGTAGCCACAGGGCTGTCGTGGTAGCCACAGGGCTGTCCTGGTAGCCACAGGGCTGTCCTGCTAGCCACAGGCATGGTAGCCACAGGGCTGTCCTGGTAGCCACAGGGCTGTCCTGGTAGCCACAAGGCTGTCGTGCTAGCCACAGGGCCGTCCTGGTAGCCACAGGGCTGTCCTGCTAGCCACAGGGCCGTCCTGCTAGCCACAGGGCTGTCCTGCTAGCCACAAGGCTGTCATGGTAGCCACAAGGCTGTCGTGGTAGCCACAGGGCTGTCCTGCTAGCCACAGGGCTGTCCTGGTAGCCACAAGGCTGTCCTGCTAGCCACAGGGCCGTCCTGGTAGCCACAGGGCTGTCCTGGTAGCCACAGGGCCGTCCTGGTAGCCACAGGGCCGTCCTGGTAGCCACAGTGCTGTTCTGCTAGCCACAGGGCTGTCGTGGTAGCCACAAGGCTGTCGTGGTAGCCACAGGGTTGTCCTGCTAGCCACAAGGCTGTCCTGCTGGCCACAGGGCCGTCCTGCTAGCCACAGGGCTGTCCTGCTAGCCACAAGGCTGTCCTGCTAGCCACAGGGCTGTCCTGCTAGCCACAGGGCCGTCCTGGTAGCCACAGGGCCGTCCTGGTAGCCACAGGGCTGTCCTGCTAGCCACAGGGCTGTCCTGCTAGCCACACGGCCGTCCCAGTGGCCACGGTGACAGAGGGGACATCTCTGAGCCTGCTGCTGGCCCTGCTGTCCCCGCAGGGATCCTGGTGGCCCTGGGGACATCGCTGAGGTCCCGGTGGCTCCTCTGACAGCCCGCTGTCCTTGCAGGGATCCTGGTGGCCCCATAGGGATCCTGGTGGTCCTGGTGGTGGCCCAGGGACCCCACTGACACCCCGCTGTCCCCGCAGGGATCCTGGTGGCCCATTTCCTGCAGAGTGTCACCGCCCGGCTGGTGCTGGGCGCGGAGCTGGTGTACCACCGGCGGCCCGGAGAGGAGGGGGCCATCCTCACCCTGGCTGGAAAGTACTCGGGTGGGGACACTGGGGACACTGGGGACAGCTGGGGACAGCTGGGGACAATGGGGACAGCTGGGGATTCCTCAGGGACAGCTGGGGGTGCCTGGGGACAGTTGGGGACACCCTGGGAACATCTGGGGATGCCTCAGGGACAGCTGGGGATGCCTGGGGACACCTTGGGAACATCTGGGGACAGCTGGGGATACCCGGGGACACCTTGGGAACATCTGGGGACACCGTGGGGACACCTAGGGATGCTGGGGGACACCTTGGGGACATCTGGGGACAGCTGTGGAGACCTCGGGGATTCCTGGGGAACAGCTGGGTACGCCAGGAGACACCTGGGGACGCCTTGGGGATACCTGGGAGACATCTCAGGGACAGTCTGGGGACAACTGGGGATGGCTGGGAACACCTGGGGATGCTGGGGCACATCTGGGGACATCTGGGGACACCTTGGGGACACGTGGGGACGGTGGCTCTCTGTCGCAGCCCCGAACTGGGAGGCAACGCTCAACGTGGGCTACGGCGGGGCCCACGCCAGCTACTACCACCGGGCCAACGAGCAGGTGGGTGTCCCCATTGTCCCCCGCTGTGTCCCCGCTGTGTCCCCATTGTCCCCTGCTGTCCCCTGACCGCCGTGTCCCGCAGGTGCAGGTGGGGGTGGAGCTGGAGGCCAACCCGCGGCTGCAGGAGAGCTCCTTTGCCTTTGGCTACCAGCTCAACCTGCCGCGGGCCAACGCCGTCTTCAGAGGTGGGCCGGTCCCCCCCCGAGGTGGTTTTTGTCCCCGCTGGTGGCGGGGGTGGCGCTCAGGTGTCACTGCTGTCCCCACAGGGCTCCTGGACAGCAGCTGGAGCGTGGGGGGGGTCCTGGAGAAGCGGCTGCCCCCCCTGCCCGTGACGCTGGCGCTGGGCGCCTTCCTGAACCACCGCAGGGACCGCTTCCACTGCGGCTTCGGTGTCACCGTGGCGTGAGCGACACGGGACAGGGACACCGGACAGGGGACAGGACAGCAGGGACAGCAGGGACAGGATACGGGACGGGACAGCAGGGACAGGGGACACGGATAGGGGACAGGACAGCGGGGACAGCAGGGACAGCAGGGACAGGGGACACGGGACATGGACAGGGGACAGGACAGTGGGGACAGCAGGGACAGGGGACACGGACAGGGGACAGGACAGTGGGGACGGGATAGTGGGGATGGCAGGGACAGCAAGGACAGGGCACAGCGGGGACAGGACAGTGGGAACAGCAAGGACGTGGGACACAGACAGGGAACAGGACAGTGGGGACAGGACAGCAGGGACATGGGACATGGACAGGGGACAGGACAGTGGGGATAGGACAGTGGGGACAGCAGGACACGGGACAGGGGACTGGACAGTGGGGACAGCGGGACAGAGTGGACAGGACAGTGTGACAGGACAGTGGGGACAGCAGGACACGGGACAGCAGGACAGTGTGACAGAGTGGACAGGACAGTGGGACAGGACAGCGGGGACAGCGGGTGAGTGGCACTGTCCTGCTCAGGGAGCCGCCAGGCGGGGCCATGCAGGTGCCACAAGGACCCGCGGGGACACGGCGGGCTGGGGACAGCGAGTGACAGTGCCACAGGGGGCTGGGGGTCCCCATTGTCGCCAGTGCCACCCTCGGAGGGTGGTGGCCATGAGGGGCTGGGGGTCCCCAGCGCGGTGGCGGCCGTGCCTCAGTTTCCCTGCGGTGACGCAGCCGGGAGCCCGGATAAATAAAGGAGCTTTACTCTGTGCCTGGTGGCGGCCGGGGGTGACACTTGGGGACCGGGAGGTGACACGGGGCTCAGCTGATGATCTCGGAGAGAGCGGCATCATGGCTGACAGGTCCTGGATGTGCAGGATCTGCCGCGTGTTCTCCGCCTTCATGGGGACACGCATGGGGACATCCAGCTGGGCCTGGTGGCTGTCCCCAACCCCTCTGGGGACGCTGCCACCCCGCCGTGGGGCTGACCTGCCCAGGCTCACGTGGAACTTGGGGAGCAGCTCCAGGTACGCCTGCTGGAAGCTGGCTGGGGGGAGCCCCCTAAAATCCCGGGGTGAGGGCGGGCAGCGCCTTTGGGATCTGTCCCTGCAGTGTCACCAAGTGCCACCGCCTTGGACGCCTCCGGGGTGGCCGCTCCGAACCTCCCTGGGCAGCCCTTCCAGGGTCTTTTCCCTTTTCCAGGAGGAATTCTCCCAAATTTCCCCTTTGAGCCTCCCCAGGTTCATTCCAAACCTCCCTGGACAGCCCTTCCAGGTCCTTTTCCCTTTTCTAAGAGGAATTTCCCCAAATTTTCCACCCTGAGCCTTCCCTGGTCACCCTGGGGGAGTGGCAGGGTGTCCGCCTGGATGTCCCTTGGATGAGTCTGGGGGTGCCAGGCTGTCCCTTGTCCCCGAGGGGGTGCCAGGGTGTCCCTTTGGGTGTCCCCGAGGTGATTCTGGGGGTGCCAGGCTGTCCCTTGTCCCCGAGGGGGTGCCAGGGTGTCCCTTTGGGTGTCCCCGAGGTGATTCTGGGGGTGCCAGGCTGTCCCTTGTCCCCGAGGGGGTGGCAGGATGTCCCTTTGGGTGTCCCCGAGGTGATTTTGGGGGTGCCAGGCTGTCCCTTGTCCCCGAGGGGGTGCCAGGGCGTCCCTTTGGGTGTCCCCGAGGTGATTTTGGGGGTGCCAGGCTGTCCCTTGTCCCCGAGGGGGTGCCAGGGTGTCCCTTTGGGTGTCCCCGAGGTGATTCTGGGGGTGTCAGGCTGTCCCTTGTCCCCGAGGGGGTGGCAGGATGTCCCCCTGGGTGTCCCCACCGTGAACCTGGCGGTCCCCAAGGGGGGGGGCGGATCCTGCTGCAGCCCCCGGCCCAGGAAATCGGGGTTCCCCACCCTCCTGTCACCGTCACCGCCCCCTCCCCACCCTCCTGTCACTGTCACCGCCCCCTCCCCACCCTCCTGTCACTGTCACCGCCCCCTCCCCACCCTCCTGTCACTGTCACTGTCACTGTCACCCCCCACCCAGAGGAGCTTTTGGCCCGTGCAAAGAATAAAACGTGAGGAAGAGGAGGCTGGGCCGGGGGTTTGGGGGAATTTGGGGAGGGGGACCCCACTGGGAGAGAACCCCGGGTTTCCCCCTCTGGGATTTGAAGGATTTCCAGTGAAATTCCCGGGATTTTCTCACCCGCTGCGGCTCAGGCGCCCCAAAACTGATTCGTGGAGCGGGGGAGGAGGGGGGGGATAAAATCAAGGAGATTTTGGGGGGGCTTTTGGGGGTTTTGCAGCAGAATTTGGGGGGTTAACAGGCGAATTTCGGAGGGTTTGCAGCTGGGTTTTGGCGGGGTTCACAGGAGGATTTCGGGAGGATTCACAGCAGGATTTTGGGGAGTTCACAGCAGTTTTATTAATGGCACCACGGGGACAGGGAGGGGACAGGGACAGGGACAAAACGCGTCGGGGGGCACGGGCGGCTCCCCCAGGCCGGCCGCAGCCTCGCCCCCTCCACGGGGCTCCGGCCGGTTTTTTGGGGGGGGGTCCCGGCGGTTACGGGGTGCGGGGGTTAATGGGGGGACAGGAAAGGGGACGGGGCGGGGACCACCCCGCGACGTCATTTGGGGTCGGTCGCGGGGAGAGACGAGAAAACGGCCAAAAAAGGAGCAAAAATGGGGGCACAGAAACCCCCCCGAGCTCGGGGAGGGGACACCGACCCCAAATCCGCCGGGTTTGCGTTCCGAAGGAGAAATTCCGCTCGGGGCTGGGCAGGGGGCGACCGAGGGGGGGACACGAGGTTGTCCCCAACGCCACCCTCAAGGCCGGGGGACCCGAGGCGAGGACCACACCCCGCTCCTCGCCGGGTCCCGGGGCCGGGGGGCCATCAGGAGCCCCCCGAGTTGGGTTTGATGATGCTCAGCAGGGCGTTCTTGAGGCTGGCCCGGCTCGGGGAGCGGGCGGCGGGCGGGGGGGCGGCCTGGGGCTCCCCCCGCAGCTCCATCTCGATGGTCATGATGACTTTGGGGGGCCGGGGGTCCCCCGTGTCCCCGCCAGCCCCCGGGGGTCGCTCCCTGCCCGCTAACCGCTATTTCCTATCCTTGCGCGAGTCCCCTTTGGCTTTCTTGGCGCTGCGGCCGTGGTCCAGCATGGCGTAGAGCACCGGGGCCTGCGGGGACACCGGGGATTCAGCTGCCGGTTCCGGGCACCGGGGGCACCGGGGGGACCGGGGGGACCGGGGGGACAGCCCGCCGAGCCCCCCGCCCCGCTGGGCGCTCACCTGCCGGCTGCGCTTGGAGCCGTCCTTGGCCGAGCGCTGCAGCTTCCCCTTCTCCATGGCGCTGGCACCGGGGGAAACGGGAAAAGAGCGGCTCGGGGCGGCGGGGCCGGGGCCGCCGGTTTGGGGAGGGGGAACGGAAATTGCAGCCCCGGTGGTCCCGGTTTGGGGACGGGTCCCGGTTTGGGGAGGGGGCGCGGAAAACGCAGCCCCGGTGGTCCCGGTTTGAGGAGGGTCCCGGTTTGGGGAGGGGTCCCGGTTTGGGGAAGGGTCCCGGTTTGGGAAGGGTCCCGGTTTGGGGGGGTCCCGGTTTGGGGAGGGGGCGTGGAAATTGTGGCCCCGGTTTGGGGAAGGTCCCGGTTTGGGGAATGTCCCGGTTTTGGGGGGGGTCCCGGTTTGGGGAGGGGGCGCGGAAAACGCAGCCCCGGTGGCTCCGGTTTGAGGAGGGTCCCGGTTTGGGGAACGGTCCCGGTTTGGAGAAGGTCCCGGTTTGGGGAAGGTCCCGGTTTGGGGGAGTGTCCCGGTTTGGGGAGGGTCCCGGTTTGGGGGAAGGTCCCAGTTTGGGGAAGGTCCCGGTTTGGGGAGGGGTCCCGGTTTGGGGAAGGTCCCGGATTGGGGAAGGGTCCCGGTTTGGGGATGGGTCCCGGTTTGGGGAGGGGTCCCAGTTTGGGGAGGGGGCGCGGAAATTTTGGCCCCGGTGGTCCCGGTTTGGGGAAGGGTCCCGGTTTGGGGGGGTCCCGGTTTGGGGAGGGGGAACGGAAATTGCAGCCCCGGTGGTCCCGGTTTGGGGACGGGTCCCGGTTGGGGAGGGGGCGCGGAAAACGCAGCCCCGGTGACCCCGGTTTGGGGGGGGTCCCGGTTTGGGGAGGTCCCGGTTTGGGGGGGGTCCCGGTTTGGGGATGGGTCCCGGTTTGGGGAAGGTCCCGGTTTGGGGAGGGGGCGCGGAAATTGCAGCCCCGGTGGTCCCGGTTTGGGGACGGGTCCCGGTTTGGGGAGGGGGCGCGGAAATCGCAGCCCCGGTGGTCCCGGTTTGGGGATGGGTCCCGGTTTGTGGCGGGGGTCCCGGTTTGGGGAACGGTCCCGGTTTGGGGAGGGGGCGCGGAAAACGCAGCCCCGGTGGCCCCGGTTTGAGGAGGGTCCCGGTTTGGGGAGGGGTCCCGGTTTGGGGGGGTCCCGGTTTGGGGAATGTCCCGGTTTGAGGAGGGGTCCCGGTTTAGGAAAGGGTCCCGGTTTGTGGGGGGGGTCCCGGTTTAGGAAAGGTCCCGTTTGGGGAAGGTCCCGGATTGGGGAAGGGTCCCGGTTTGGGGGGGTCCCGGTTTGGGGAACGGTCCCGGTTTGGGGAAGGTCCCGGTTTGGGGAGGGGTCCCGGTTTTTGGGGGGGGTCCCGGTTTGGGGAAGGGTCCCGGTTTGGGGAACGGTCCCCGTTTGGGGAGGGTCCCGGTTTGGGAGGGGGTCCCGGTTTGGGGAATGTCCCGGTTTGGGGGAGGGGTCCCGGTTTGGGGAGGGGGCGCGGAAAACGCAGCCCCGGTGACCCCGGTTTGAGGAGGGTCCCGGTTTGGGGAAGGTCCCGGTTTGGGGGGGTCCCGGTTTGGGGAAGGGTCCCGGTTTGGGGGTGGTCCCGGTTTAGGGGAGGTCCCGGTTTGGGGGGGGTCCCGGTTTGGGGGGGGTCCCGGTTTGGGGGGGGGGTCCCGGTTTGGGGAACGGTCCCGGTTTGGGGGGGGGTCCCGGTTTTGGGGGGGGGTCCCCTCACCTCAGCCGCCGCTGCAGAACCGCCTGGCGCCGCCGCCAGCAGTAGCGGGTGACATAAACCAGCGCCACCAGCACGGCCACCAACAGCAGGACCCCGCCGATGACAGAGCCCAGCACGACGCCGTAGCGGGTGGGCACTGCGGGGACAGTGGCACCGTGTCACCCCCCCTGGGTGGGTGGCACTGCGGGGACAGCGGCACCGTGTCACCCCCCCCGGGTGGGTGGCACTGCGGGGACAGCGGCACCGTGTCACCCCCCCCGGGTGGGTGGCACTGCGGGGACAGTGGCACCGTGTCACCCCCCCCGGGTGGGTGGCACTGCGGGGACAGTGGCACCGTGTCACCTCCATCAGTGGGGATCAGGGAGGTGACACCAGCCCGGTGTCCCCATCACCAGCAGCGATCAGGGAGGTGACACCACCACTGGGGATCAGGGAGGTGACACCGCCCTGGTGTCACCACCAGCACCAGGGATCAGGGAGGTGACACCGGCTCGGTGTCCCCACCACCACTGATGATCAGGGAGGTGACACCAGCCCGGTGTCATCACCAGCAGGGATCAGGGAGGTGACACCACCACCGGGGATCAGGGAGGTGACACCGGCCCCGTGTCCCTGCCACCACCGGGGATCAGGGAGGTGACACCGGGGCGGTGTCACCATCACCAACAATGATCAGGGAGGTGACACCACCACCAGGGATCAGGGAGGTGACACCACCACTGGGGATCAGGGAGGTGACACCGGGGCGGTGTCCCCGCCACCACCGGCGATCAGGGAGGTGACACCACCACCGGTGACCAGGGAGGTGACACCAGCTCGGTCTCCCTGCCACCAGGAGCGATCAGGGAGGTGACACCGGCCCAGTGTCACCATCACCACTGATGATCAGGGAGGTGACACCGGGGCGGTGTCCCCGCCACCACCGGCGATCAGGGAGGTGACACCACCACCGGTGACCAGGGAGGTGACACCAGCTCGGTCTCCCTGCCACCAGGAGCGATCAGGGAGGTGACACCAGCCCGGTGTCCCCGCCAGCACCGGCGATCAGGGAGGTGACACCACCACTGGGGATCAGGGAGGTGACACCAGCCCAGTATCCCTGACACCACTGATGATCAGGAAGGTGACACCACCACCAGGGATCAGGGAGGTGACACCAGCCCGGTGTCCCCACCACCACTGATGATCAGGGAGGTGACACCACCACTGGGGATCAGGGAGGTGACACCAGCCCAGTGTCACCATCATCACCAGCAATCAGGGAGGTGACACCACCACTGGGGATCAGGGAGGTGACACCACCACCGATGATCAGGGAGGTGACACCGGGGTGGTGTCCCCGCCACCACCGGCGATCAGGGAGGTGACACGGGCCAGCCGCGGGGTCCGGGCAGTGCCACCATGTCACACACCTTTCTCCAGCACGTAGAGGGTGACCTGCGAGGACTTGCCCACGATGTCGGGCGGGTTCTTGACGTCGCAGGTGAAGGTGCCGTTGTCGCTGGGCTCCAGGCTGTGGATGACGATGGAGCCATCGCGGCGCCGCGGGTTCCCCGCCCACTCCATGCGCTCCTTGAATGTCCCCACGTCGTCGATGTAGGGCTGGCCCTTGGCGTAGTGGAAGATCTGCCACAGCGGAGGTGACACCGCGGTCACCGCGGCGCTGAGGTGGCCCCCGGGCTCGGCGGGGTGGCAGCCAGCCGTGGGGTGGGTGGGGACAGAGGGGACAGGGTGATGGAGGTGTTCGTGGTGTCCCCAGGGTGTCTGTGGGCGGTGCAAGGGGACACGGTGGCTGGTGGGGACACGGTGGCTGGTGGGGACACGGGGACACCGCAGGGACAGCGGTGTGCCCACCTGCTGAGGTTGGCACGGGGACACTGTGGGGACACCCCGGTGCCACCTCAAGGGAAGGTGTGTCCTGCTGGGGCTGGTGCTGAGAGCCAGCGGGCACTGGGGACACCTTGGGGACACCTTGAGGACACCACAGGGCAAGGGGACACTGCTGGGGTGGAACCCAGGGGGCAGCAGGGCTGGGGACACCTTGGGGACACCCCAGTGCCACCACAGGGCACGGGGACACTGCTGGGGCTGGACCTGGCGGGCACTGGGGACACCTTGGGGACACCCCAGTGCCACCACAGGGCAAGGGGACACCTTGGGGACACCACAGGGCAAGGGGACACTGCTGGGGCTGGAACCGAAGGAAAAACAGGGTTGGGGACACCTTGGGGACACCCCAGTGCCACCACAGGGCACGGGGACACTGCTGGGGCTGGACCTGGCGGGCACTGGGGACACCCTGGGGACACCCCAGTGCCACCACAGGGCAAGGGAACACTGCCGTGGCTGGAACCAAAGGGACAGCAGGGTTGGGGACACCTTGGGGACACCCCAGTGCCACCACAGGGCAAGGGGACACTGCCAGGGACTGGTGACACCACGGGGACACGCCAAGTGTCACCCTCAGGGAAGGCTCCGTCGCGCTGCCGCTGCGACAAAGGGACACCGGGGCTGGGGGCGCGGTGGGGACGGCTTGGGGACAGCTTGGGGACATTGGGGACACTGACGGAGATGCTGTCGCGGGAGCCCTCGGCCTGGAAGTGCCAGGTGATGGAGATGTCCTCCGAGATCCACTCGCGGGACCAGAAGCTGCAGGACAGGGTGACACGCGAGCCCACGGTGCCATAGACCTCGCGCGGCGTGTACACGTGGATTGGGGACACCGGCGACACTCCTGGTGACACAGAGCCGTCAGTGCCACCCCCGCGCGGGGACCACACCCACCGCTGTCCCCGAGCTGCCACCAGCGGGGTGGTGGCACCGCCGTGCCCAGGGGTGGCTCCGAGGGGACAGTGGGTGGTGGCACTGTCGTGCCCAGGGGTGGCTCCGAGGGGACAGTGTCCCCCGGTGCCCGGTGACACGGGTGGGGGTGGCAGCCAGCACAGCGGGGAGGTGACAATGGGACGCTCTGTGCCCGCCGGTGACACCATCAGAGGGTGTGGCACCCCTGCACCTGTCCCCAGGGAGGTGACAATGACCAGGACCCCCCTGGCTGCCACCCGCCCGTGTCCCCAAGGAGGTGACAATGACCGGGACCGCCCTGGCCGCCACCCGCCCGTGTCCCCAAGGAGGTGACAATGACCAGGACCCCCGTGGCCGCCACCCTCTGTGTCCCCAAGGAGGTGACAATGACCAGGACCCCCCTGACCGCCACCCGCCCTTGTCCCCAGGTTGGTGACAGCCACGGCCACCCCCAACCCCCCCCCCCACCCCTTTTTGGGGACCTGTCCCTTGTCCCCAACTCACCCAGCGCCGCCAGCAGCCCGGCCGCGAGGAGGAGGCGGCGGGTGGCCCTCGGGGACATGGCGGTGGCACGGAGGGGACAGCGGCGGTGGCAGCAGGGGACAGCGGTGGCGCCGCGGTTTTAGGGTGGCCCGGGCAGCGCTGCACCCCCAAATCTCGGCCAATGGGCGGCGGGCGCGGGGGGGGCCCGGCCCGCGGGGTCCCCGCTGAAAGGGGACATTGAGGGACACCGAGGGACACCGAGGGTGGCGAGGGGGACGGGGACACTGGTGGCCTTTGTCCGGCCGCATTCCCGCGCGCCGCGGGGGCGGGGGACCAGGAATGTGGCCGGAGGGGACAGCGGGGACAGGGGGGGGACATTGGGGGGACACAGGGAGGGACAGGGGGGACGTTGGGGACACGGGGAGGGACATGGGGGGACACGGGGGGACATGGGGGGACATGATGGGACACAGGAAGGGACAGGAGGGGACATTGGGGGACACGGGGGGACATTGGGGGACATGGGGGGACACGGGGAGGGACATGGGGGACATGATGGGGACATGATGGGGACATGGGGGGACATTGGGGGGACAGAGGGGACATGAGGGGACAGCGGGGACATAGGGGGGACATGAGGGGACAGCAGGGACAGCGGGGGACAGCGGGAGGGACATGGGGGACATTGGGGGGACAGCGGGAGGGACATGGGGGGGACACGGGGGGGACACGGGGGGACATTGGGGACATGGGGGGGACAGCGGGGACATAGGAGGGACATGAAGGGACACGGGGGGACATGGGGGGACATGATGGGGACACGGGGGGACATGAGGGGACAGCAGGGATATAGGAGGGACATTGGGGGACAGCGGGGGGGGCACAGGGAGGGACACGGGGGGACGTTGGGGACACGGGGAGGGACATGGGGGGACACGATGGGGACATGGGGGGACATTGGGGGACATGAAGGGACATTGGGGACACGATGGGGACACGGGGGGACATGAGGGGACAGCAGAGACATGGAGGGGACATTGGGGGGACAGCGGGGGGGGACGCAGGGAGGGACATGGGGGGACATTGGGGGACATGATGGGGACACGGGGGGACATTGGTGACACGGGGAGGGACATGGGGGACATTGGGGGACATGAGGGGACAGCGGGGACATAGGGGGGACATGAGGGGACATGATGGGGACAAGGGGGACACGGAGGGGACATGGGGGGGACATGATGGGACATGAGGGGACAGCAGGGACATAGGGGGGACATGATGTGACACAGGGAGGGACATGGAGGGGACACGGGGGGATATTGGGGACACGGGGGGGACAAAGGGGGACACGGGGAGTGGCATTGGGGGACATTGGGGGGCAGCGGAGGGGACATGGGGGGGACATTGGGGGACAAGGAAGGACAAGGGGGGACAGCGAGGACCGGGGGGGACACAGGGAGGGACATGGGGGGTTTGGGGGGGTTTTTTTGGGGGGGTTTTAGGGGAATTTGGGGAGGGTTTTAGGGGGATTTTAGGGGATTTTGGGGGGATTTTTGGGGGATTTTTGAGATTGGGGATTTTTGGGGATTTTTGGGGGGTTTTGGGGGAGGACATGGGGGGCACGCGGTGCTCGTGGTTGGGCGAGGGGGATTTGGGGGATTTGGGGGATTTTGGGAGGGTTTTGGGGGTTTTTTAGGGGATTTTGGGGAGGCTTTGGGTTTTTTTGGGGCGGGTTTGGGGATTTTGGGGGATTTTGGGGGGAAAATTGCAAAGGGGGGTCTGCTTGGGGGGTGATAACGGGGATCGATAACGGAATTGATAACGGATCTGATATCAGGGATTGACCCCAGGGATCAATAACGGATCCGATATCAGGCCTCGATCCCGGGGATCAATAACAGTGACCGATCTCAGTTATTGATCCCAGTTATCGCTATCAGTACCAATATCAGTTATTGATCTCAGTGACCGATATCAATACCGCTATCAGTTATCGCTAATCTCAGTTATTGATCCCAGTGACCAATCTCAATACAGATATCAATACCGATATCAATTATGGATCCCAGTTATCGATCCCAATGACCATTATCAGTTATCGATCTCCGTTATCGCTATCAGTTATCGATCTCAGTTATCGCTATCAGTTATCGATCCCAGTTATGGATCTCAGTTATCGATCCCAATGACCATTATCAGTTATCGATCTCAGTTATCGCTATCAGTTATCGATCCCAGTTATGGATCTCAGTTACCGCTATCAGTTATCGATCCCAGTTATGGATCTCAGTTATCGATCCCAATGACCATTATCAGTTATCAATCTCAGTTATCGCTATCAGTTATCGATCCCAGTTATCGATCTCAGAGACCATTATCAGTTATCGATCTCAGTTATCGCTATCAGTTATCGATCCCAGTTATCGATCTGAGTTATCGATCTGAGTTATCGATCTCCGTTATCGATTCCCGCCCTCCCCGCGCGCCCTCTCCCACCGGAAGTGCGTCACAGCACTTCCGTCGCGGCGGCTCCAAGATGGCGGCGCTGGCGCTGAGGTGACTCCGGGGACCGGGACCGGGCCGGGGACACGGGGGGACATTGGGGGGACATTGGGGACATTGGGGGGACATTGGGGACACCCAGGGGACAGCGCGGCGGGGGCGGGCCGGGCCTGAGGCCATTTCTCGGCGTCCCGCCGCAGTTCGGGGCTGGCCCGGCCCAGCCATGGTTGCGTGTCCTCAATGTCCCCTGAGTGACCCCTGAGTGACCCCTGAGTGACCCCTGGGTGTCCCCTCAGTGTCCCTTGGGTGTCCCCTCAATGTCCCCTGAGTGTCCCCTGAGTGACCCCTGAGTGACCCCTGGGTGTCCCCTCAGTGTCCCTTGGGTGTCCCCTCAGTGTCCCCTCGGTGTCCCCTCAGTGTCCCCTCAGTGTCACCCTGTGTCCCATTTCCCCTCATTTTTCCCGTTTTCCCCTTTTTTTTTTTGTATTTTTCCCCATTTCCCCTCATTTTTCCCATTTTCCCTCAATTTTCCCCAATTTCCCCAATTTTTGTTGTACTTTTCCCATTTCCCCCCATTTTTTCCCCATTTTTCCATTTTTTTTGTATTTTTCCCATTTCCCCCCAATTTTCCCCATATTTCCCATTTTCCCCCCATTTATTCCCATTTTCCCAATTTTTGTTGTATTTTTTCCCTTTTTTTCCCATTTCCCTCCATTTTTCCCATTTTCTCTCAAATTTCCCCATTTTCCCTAATTTTTGTTGTATTTTTCCCATTTTTTCCCATTTTCTCTCAATTTTTCCAGTTTTTCCCATTTTTTGTTGTATTTTCCCCCAATTTTTCCCATTTCCCCCACATTTTTCCCATTTCCCCACCATTTTTCCCCCACATTTTTCCAATTTTTCCTCATTTTTCACCCATTTTTTCCTATTTTCCCCTTATTTTTTTCCCATTTTTCCCTATTTTTGTTGTATTTTTTCCCATTTTTCCCCTTTTTTTTCTCTTTCCAGGGGTTTGGGCCGGCGCTGCCTCCTGGCCCGGCTGGGGCCCGGCCCCACCCTGCACCAGTGAGAGCCTGGGAGAGAATTTGGGAATTTTGGGCATTTTAGGGGGATTGTTGGGTTTTGGGATGGATTTTGGGGTTTATTTTGGGGATTTGGGGTGCGATTTGTGGTGTTTTGGGCTGGATTTGGGGGTTTTTTTTGAGTTTTGGGGTGACTTTTAAAGTTTTTTTTTCATTGTTTTGGGATGGGTTTAGGGTTTTAGGAGTGGGTTTAGGGGTTTTTTGGGTTTTAGGGTGGGTTTTGGGGTGATTTTAGGGGTTTTTTTTTGGGTTTTGGGGTGATTTTAGGGGATTTTTGGTGTTTTGGGGCGATTTTAGGGATTTTTGGAGTGGACTTTGGTGTTTTTTGGGTGCTGGGGTGGGTTTAGGATATTTCCTGTGTTTTGGAGTGTGTTTGGGGTTGTTTTTCTGGGTTTTAGGGTGGATTTAGGGCTATTTTTCTGGGGTTTGGGGTGGGTTTGGGGTTTTAGGGTGGGTTTAGGGTTATTTTTCTGGGTTTTAGGGTGGGTTTAGGTTTTTAGGGTGTGTTTGGGGTATTTCCTGGGTTCTGGGGTGGCTTTGGTGTATTTTTGGGGTGGGTTTGGGGTATTTTTGGTGTGGCTTTGGGGTATCTCCTGGGTTCTGGGGTGGCTTTGGGGTATTTTTGGGGTGGCTTTGGGGTATTTTTGGGGTGGCTTTGGGGTATTTTTGGGGTCGGGGCTCAGGCCCTGCCTGTCCCCAGGACGATCCCGATGGGGACGACGGCGCAGGAGGAGATGAGGCGGTTCTGGGAGAGGAACTCGCGCTCGGGGCGGCCCGTGTCCCCCCACGTCAGCATCTACAAGTGAGGGACCCCCAAAACACCCCAAAACCGGCCCTAATCACCCCAAAACCAGCCCAGATCACCCCAAAATCAGCCTGGGAACCCCCTAAACACCCCAAAACCAGCCAGGGAACCCCCAAAATCAGCCCAAATAACCCCAAAACAACCCTAAAATAGCCCTAATCACCCCAAAACCAGCCAGGGAACCCCAAATCACTCCAAAAACACCCCAAAGCACCCCAAAACCAGCCAGGAAACACAAAACCACACCCAAAGCACCCCAAAATAAGCCTGGGAACCCAAAACCACACCCAAAGCACCCCAAAATCAGCCAGGGAACCCAAAACCACACCCAAAGCACCCCAAAATCAGCCAGGGAACCCAAAACCACACCCAAAGCACCCCAAAATCAGCCAGGGAAGCTCAAATCACCCCCAAACCGCCCCAAAACACCCCAAAACCAGCCAGGGAACCCAAAAAACATAAAAACCACCCCTAAAACAGCCCAAAGAAGCCCAAATCACCCCAAAACTGGCCCAAAGCACCCCAAAACCAGCCAGGGAACCCCCAGATTCACCCCAAATTTCTGTTGCAGGTGGTCGCTGCCCATGGCCATGTCCATCAGCCACCGCGGCACCGGCGTCGCCCTCAGCCTCGGTGGGTGGCACTTGGGGACACCTGGGGACACCTGGGGACAGCCCTGGGTTCCCACAGCTGGGGGGTTTCCTGGGAAACCTCTGCTCTGCCTTCCCCAGTCCCCAAAATCCACCTAAATTCACCCAAAATCCCTGCAAAATTCCCTCTAAATCCACCCAAAATTCACCTCAAATTCCCCCTCCAAATTCACCCAAAATCTCTGCAAAATGTCCCCCAAGTCCACCCGAATTCACCCAAAATCCTCCCCAAAATCCCCCACAAAATCTCCCCATCCCTGTTTTTTCCATTTCTGTTTTTCCCTGAGTTTTTTTTTCCATTGGAATTTTTCCACCCCTGAGATTTTCTCCATCCCCACGTTTTCCGTGTTCTCCCTGGTGTGTTCCATCCCATTCCAGGTGTATCTGTGTCTGTGTCCCAGGTGTGTCCCTGTGTCCCAGGTGTATCCCTGTCTGTGTCCTAGCTGTGTCCCTGTCCCCATTCCAGGTGTGTCCCTGTCCCCATTCCAGGTGTATCCCTGCTCTCCAGGTGTGTTCCATGCCTGTTCCAGGTGTATCCCTCTGTCCCCACTCTGTCCCTGTCCCTGTCCCAGGTGTATCCCTGCTCTCCAGGTGTATCCCTGTCTGTCCCAGGTATATCCCTGCTGTCCAGGTGTATCCCTGTCCCTGTTCCAGGTGTATCCCTGTTCTCCAGGTGTATCCCTGCTCTACAGGTGTATCCCTGCTCTCCAGGTGTGTTCCATGCCCGTTCCAGCTGTGTCCCTGTCCCTGTCCCCATTCCAGGTGTATCCCTGCTCTCCAGGTGTATCCCTACTCTCCAGGTGTATCCCTGCTCTCCAGGTGTATCCCTGTCCCCGTTCCAGGTGTATCCCTGCTCTCCAGGTGTATCCCTGCTCTCCAGGTGTATCCCTGTCTGTGTCCCAGGTGTATCCCTGCTCTCCAGGTGTATCCCTATCTGTGTCCCAGGTGTATCCCTGTCTGTGTCCCAGGTGTATCCCTGTCTGTGTCCCAGGTGTATCCCTGCTCTCCAGGTGTATCCCTGTTCTCCAGGTGTATCCCTGCTCTCCAGGTGTGTTCCGTGCCCATTCCAGGTGTATCTGTGTCTGTGTCCCAGGTGTGTCCCTGTGTCCCAGGTGTATCCCTGTGTCCCAGGTGCATCCCTGTCTGTGTCCTAGCTGTGTCCCTGTCCCCATTCCAGGTGTATCCCTGCTCTCCAGGTGTGTTCCATGCCTGTTCCAGGTGTATCCCTCTGTCCCAGCTGTGTCCCTGTCCCCGTTCCAGCTGTGTCCCTGTCTGTCCCAGGTGTATCCCTGCTCTCCAGGTGTGTTCCATGCCTGTTCCAGCTGTGTCCCTGTACCTGGTGTATCCCTGCTCTTCAGGTGTATCCCTGTCCCCGTTCCAGGTGTATCCCTGTCTGTGTCCCAGGTGTATCCTTGTGTCCCAGCTGTGTTCCTGTCCCCGTTCCAGGTGTATCCCTGCTCTCCAGGTGTATCCCTGTCCCAGGTGTATCCCTGTCCCTGTTCCAGGTGTGTCCCTGCTCTCCAGGTGTATCCCTGTCCCTGTTCCAGGTGTACCCCTGCTCTCCAGGTGTATCCCTGTCTGTGTCCCAGGTGTATCCCTGCTCTCCAGGTGTACCCCTGCTCTCCAGGTGTGTTCCATGCCATTCCAGCTGTGTCCCAGCTGTGTCCCAGCTGTGTCCCTGTCCCCGTTCCAGGTGTGTCCCTGTTCTCGGTGGCGGCGCTGCTGCTCCCGGAGTCCTTCCCGCATTACCTGGCGCAGGTGCGGGCGCTGAGCCTGGGCCCCGCCCTGCTCTGCTCCGCCAAGTTCCTGCTGGCCCTGCCCCTCTGCTACCACAGCTGGAACGGCGTGCGGCACCTGGTCAGCGGGACAGCGGGACAGGGGGACAGCGGGACAAATGGGGATACAGGGGGACAAATGGGGACAGGGGGACAGCGGGGACAAATGGGGACAGCGGGGACAGCGGGGACAAATGGGGACAGAGGGGACAAATGGGGACAGCGGGGACAAATGGGGCAGAGGGGACAGCGAGGACAGAGGGACAGAGGGGACAGCCAGTGACAAATGGGGACAGTGGGGACAAATGGGGACAGCGGGGACAAGCGGGGACAGCGGGGACAAATGGGGACAGCAGGGATAGCGGGGACAGCAGGGACAGTGGGGACAAGCGGGACAGTGGGGACAAATGGGGACAGTGGGGACAAATGGGGACAGTGGGGACAAATGGGGACAGCGGGACAGAGGGGACAGCGGGGACAAATGGGGACAGCGGGGATAGCGGGGACAAACAGGGACAGAGGGGACAAATGGGGACAGCGGGGACAAACGGGGACAAACGGGGACAGCGGGACAGTGGGGACAGCAGGGACAGTGGGGCAGCGGGGACAGCAGGGACAGAGGGGACAGCCAGTGACAAATGGGGACAGCGGGAATAATGGGAATGGGGAGAGTGGGAATGGGAATAATGGGAGAGTGGGAATAATGGGAATAGTGGGAATGGGGAGAGTGGGATTAATGGGAGTAGGAAGAGTGGGAATGGGAATAATGGGAATAGTGGGAATTGCGGAGAGGGGATGGGAATGGGAGTGTGGGAATAGGAATAGGGAATGGGGAATGGGAATGGGGAGAGGGGATGGGAAATGGGGAATGGGAAATGGGGAATGGGAATGGGAAATGGGGAATGGGAATGGGGAGAGGGGATGGGAATGGGAGTGTGGGAATAGGAATAGGGAATGGGAATGGGGAATGGGAAATGGGGAATGGGAATGGGAGTGTGGGCAGGGGATGGAATGAAGGGGAGAAGGGCTGGAAGGGGGGAATGGGAAGGGAACAGGAACTGGGATAAAAGGGAATGGGAATGGGATGGAAGTGGGAAAGGGGAGAGGGGATGGGGAAAAAGGAGAGGGGATGGGAAAAACGGGGAGAGGAGATGGGAAATGGGAAAAGGGATGGGAAAAAAGGGATGGGAAAGGGGAGAGGGGATGGGAAAAAGGGGGAGAGGACATGCAGGGGCTCGGGGACAGGGTGTCACCGCTGTCCCTGTGTCACCGCTGTCCCCGTGTCCCCCCAGGCCTGGGACCTGGGCAAGGGGCTGCGGCTGCCGCAGGTGACCCAGTCGGGGGTGCTGGTGCTGGCCCTGACCCTGCTGTCCTCTGCCGCGCTGGCCGCCCTGTGACAGCAACACCGGGAATGCCGGGTGACAGCAACACCGGGGATTCCGGGTGACAGCGCCAGGAATTCCGGGTGACAACGCTGGGAATTCCGGGTGACAGCGCCGGGAATTCCGGGTGAAAATACCACCGGGAATTCTGGGTGACAGTGCCGCCGGGAATTCTGGGTGACAGCGCCGGGAATTCCGGGTGACAGCGCCAATTCTGGGTGACAACACCGGGAATTCCGGGTGAAAACACCGCCGGGAATTCCGGGTGAAAACACCGCCGGGAATTCCGGGTGACAGCGCCGGGAATTCCCGGTGACAGTGCCAGGAATTCCAGGTGACAACACCGGGAATTCTGGATAACAACACCGGGAATTCCAGGTGACAACACCAGGAATTCCGGCTGACAGCGCCGCCAGGAATTCTGGGTGACAGCGCTGGGAATTCCAGGTGACAACACCGGGAATTCCGGGTGAAAACACCGGGAATTCTGGCTGACAGAGGCGGGAATTCCGGGTGACAACACTGCCGGGAATTCCGGGTGACAGCACTGGGAATTCCGGGTGACAACACCACCAGGAATTCTGATTGACAACACCAGGAATTCCGGGTGACAATGCCCAGAATTCCGCCCATTCCCGCCCACTTGTGGGGAAGGTGACGCTTCCCCCCCTCCCCAAAACCCCCAAAACCCCCAAATCCGGGATGAGCAGCGCTGCCCCTCCTGCCCCGCCCCCAAGGCCAGCAGCGCTCGTGTCCCCCCACCCGCGGTGTCCCCACGTGTCCCCGGGGCCGGGACAATGCGGGATCTGTGTCCCCACGAGTGGGATCCGGCGGGACAAGGAGCTCCATTGAGGCAGCGCCCCACGGGGGTGGTGACAGGTGACATCTCGCTGCCACCCCGCTGCCACCGTCCCGCGGGAATTCCATGATTCAGCCCCAGTTTTTGGGGAAATCCCCGCGAGGGGTTTGTCACCGGGGTTTGTCACCCCAGGTGTTGTTGTCACCTGTGGGAATAAAAAAGCAGCTCTGACCCTCCACAATGGGATTTTTCTCTGGGATTTGGGGAATTGTTGCTCCCCAGAGGAGCCCAGTGTGGAAAAAGTGAAAAAAAACCCCAAAATTTGCAGCTCTTGGATGAGCAGGGAGGGTTTGGGGTCGGGTTTGGGGGATTTTGAACCTTTGGAAAAGGGTTTGGGGTAGTTCTAGAGGTTTTTTGGGTGGATTTAGGGGTTTTATTTTTGGGATCCCGAGTTCCTGCCCCAGCTCCGTGTGGGGAGCAATGCTGTTGGTAAAATCCAGGATTTTGGGGGAAAATCTTCTCCTGGATGGAATTTTGGGGTGTGTGTGGGGGGGTTTGATCCCATCCCAATCCCATCCCCAATTAATTTCCCAATTAAGAACCTTCCCCTGCGACCAGGGAGGAGGAGGAGGAGGAGGAAGAGGAGGGATTTGGGGTAATTCCAAGAATTTCCTGCATTTCCCAGCCTTTATTTCCCCTTTTTGGGGGTGCCCAGACCCTCCTGAGCCCCCCAAGGGGAGGGAAAAGGGGGGATTGTCCCCAGGGGAGGGGACAATGACAGCAGAGCCACCTCCAGGGGCTGGGGGGGGGCCTGGAGCAGGGGGGATTTAAGGGACAGGGTCCCCCCTCGGGGGGATTTTGGGGGGATTTAGGGGACAGGATCCCCACCCAGGGGGATTTTGGGGGGATTTAGGGGACAGGCCCCCCCCCCAGGGGGATTTTGGGGGGATTTAGGGGACAGGCCCCCCCCCCAGGGGGATTTTGGGGGGATTTAGGGGACAGGGTCCCCCCTGAGGCGGATTTTGGGGGGATTTAGGGGACAGTGTCCCCCCCCAGGGGGATTTAGGGGACAGTGTCCCCCCCCAGGGGGATTTTGGGGGGATTTAGGGGACAGTGTCCCCCCCCAGGGGGATTTAGGGGACAGGGCCCCCACTCGGGGGTATTTAGGGGACAGGGTCCCCACTCAGAGAGATTTTGGGGACAGGGTCCCCCCTCAGGGATGTCCCCAAGCTCTGGGGCCTCAGGGCTGTGGGGGGAGCCCCCGCTGGGACCCCCCAGCTCCTTTCCAGAAGGTTCCGTGTCCCAGGGTTCCTGCGGCTGTGGGATGGAGAGGGGGGTCAGGGGGGGTCCCCAGGGAGGGGAAATGGGGTGGGGACCCCTCAAAAAGGGGGAACTCCTGTATTTGGGGTCTGGATCCCCCCCCCACCAGAGCCGGGGTTGGCTTTGGGATGGGCGGGAGCTGCGTGTGCATGGGAACACCCCCAAAATTGTGTCCCCCCTTTTATCCCATATCCCCCATCCCTGTGTCCCCCCAAATCCACCATCCCTGTCCCCCCTTTGTCCCCCTTTATCCCCACACCCCCAATATCCGTGTCCCCCCTTTATCCTCGTATCTCCTGTCCCTGTCCCTGTGTCCCCCATGTCCCTGTGTCCCCCATGTCCCCCTGTCCCTGTGTCCCCCATGTCCCTGTGTCCCCCATGTCCCCCTGTCCCTGTCCCCCATGTCCCCCATGTCCCCCTGTCCCTGTGCCCCCAATGTCCCCCTGTCCCTGTCCCCCCCCCAATGTCCCCCTGTCCCTGTGCCCCCAATGTCCCTGTGTCCCCCATGTCCCCCTGTCCCTGTGCCCCCAATGTCCCTGTGTCCCCCATGTCCCCCTGTCCCTGTGCCCCCCAATGTCCCCCTGTCCCTGTCCCCCCCGTGTCCCCCTGTCCCTGTGTCCCCCATGTCCCCCTGTCCCCTCTCCCATCTGTTCTGTGCCACCCCCTGCCCCCCCTCCCCGAGCCCCGGGGGTGTCCCCGCTGTGTCCTCGGGCTGTCCCTGAGGTGTCCCAGTGTCCCCAGGTGTGTCCCAGGTGTGTCCCTGTGTACCCCATCTGTCCCTCTGTGTACCCCAGCTGTCCCCAGGTGTGTCCCCGTGTCCCCAGCTGTGTCCCCATGCCCCAGGTGGTCCCAGGTGTCCCCAGGTGTGTCCCAGGTGTGTCCCTGTGTACCCCATCTGTCCCTCTGTGTGTCCCAGCTGTCCCCAGGTGTGTCCCCATGTCCCCAGGTGTGTCCCTATGTGTGTCCCTGTGTCCCCAGTTGTGTCCCTATGTGTGTCCCCGTGTCCCCAGCTGTGTCCCAGCTGTGTCACCTTGCCGGTGACCCGTGTCCGGATGCCGTTGCAGCTCCCGGTGCCCCTCCCGGTGCCGCTCCCGGTGCTGTCCCTATGTACCCAGGTGTGTCCCTATGTGTGTCACCGTGTCCCCAGCTGTCCCCAGCCGTGTCACCTTGCCGGTGACCTCAGTCCGGATGCCGTTGCAGGCTCTCCGCAGCTCCCGGTGCCCCTCCCGGTGCCGCTCCCGGTGCTGTCCCTGTGTACCCCCGGTGTCCCTGTGTGTGTCCCCGTGTCCCCAGCTGTCCCCAGCTGTGTCACCTTGCCGGTGACCCGTGTCCGGATGCCGTTGCAGGCTCTCCGCAGCTCCCGGTGCCCCTCCCGGTGCCGCTCCCGCTGCAGGCGGGCGGTGGCCGCGGCCGAACGGGCGCTCCGGTCCCAGCGGGCCGGGGGGATTCGGGCTGGCATGTCCCACGTCCCCAGGAACGTCCCCCACGGCGACACCTGCGGAGGGCACAGCGCGGGGGTGGCCCCGGTGCCGGTGTCCCCCCTCCCGGGATGGGGGTGCCCCCCAAAAACCCCCGCGGGGCTCACCTGGGAGCGGGACACGCCCGGCAGGAGGTGGCCGCGGGCGTCGGCGATGAACGGGGTCGGGGGGCGAGGGGTGGGCAGCTGGGGGCGAGGGGAGGGGGGTCACGGCCGGCCTGGGGGGGCTGGGGGTCCTAGGAGGGGTTTGGGGGTCCTGGGGTGGGGTTTGGGGATCCTGGAATGGGATTGGGGGATGCTGGGGTGGGGTTTGGGGGTCCTGGGGTGGGGTTTGGGTGGCTTGGAGTGGGGTTTAGAGGTGCTGGGGTGGGGTTGGGAGGTCCTTGAAAGGGTTTGGGGGTCCTGGGGTGGGGTTTGGGGGTCCTGGAGTGGGATTGGGGGTGCTGGGTTGGGGTTTGGGGGTCCTGGGTTGGGGTTTGGGGATCCTGGAATGGGATTGGGGGATGCTGGGGTGGGGTTTGGGGGTCCTAGGAGGGGTTTGGGGGGCCTGGAGAGGGGTTTGGGGGCCCTGGAAGGGTTTGGGGGTGCTGGAGTGGCGTTTGGGGGTCCTGGGTTGGGGTTTGGGGGGCCTGGAATGGGATTGGGGGATGCTGGGGTGGGGTTTGGGGGTCCTGGGGAGGGTCAGGACTGGGCTTGGGGCTCGATGGTGGTCCCGGGAGGGGTTTTGGGGGTCCTGGGTTGGGGTTTGGGGGTCCTGGGGTGGCGTTTGGGGGTCTTGGGGTGGGTTTTGGGGGTGCTGGAGTGGCATTTGGGGGTGCTGGAATGGGGTTTGGGGATGCTGAGGTGGGGTTTGGGGGTCCTTGGAAGGGTTTGGGGGGCGTAGAGAGGGGTTTGGGGGTCCTTGGAAGGGTTTGGGGGGCCTGGGGTGGCGTTTGGAGGTGCTGGAATGGGATTGGGGGATGCTGGGGAGGGTTTGGGGGGCGTGGAGAGAGGTTTGGGGGATCGGGAGAGGGGTTTGGGGGACCTGGAGTGGGGTTTGGGGGTGCTGGAGTGGGGTTTGGGGGTCCTTGACAGGGTTTGGGGGGCCTGGAGAGCGGTTTGGAGGTCCTGGGGTGGGGTTTGGGGGACCTGGAATGGGACTGGGGGTGCTGGGGTGGGGTTTGGGGGTCCTGGAGTGGGGTTTGGGGGACTGGGAGTGGGGTTTGGGGATGCTGGGGTGGGGTTTGGGGATCCTGGAATGGGATTGGGGGATGCTGGGGTGGGGTTTGGGGGTCCTAGGAGGGGTTTGGGGGGCCTGGAGAGGGGTTTGGAGGTGCTGGGGTGGGGTTTGGGGGTGCTGGAACGGGGTCGGGGGGCTCGGGGTGGGCAGCTGGGGGCGAGGGGAGGTGGGGAGGGGGAGTCATGGGGGGCCTGGGGGTCCAAGGAGGGGTTGGGGGGTCCTAGGAGGGGTTTGGGGATACTGGGGTGGGGTTTTGGGGGGCGTGGGGTGGGGTTTGGGGGTCCTTGGAAGGGTTTGGGGGGCATGGAGAGGGGTTTGGGGGACCGGGAGTGGGGTTTGGGGGTCCTGGGGTGGGGTTTGGGGGTCCTGGGGTGGGATTGGAGGATGCTGGGGTGGGGTTTGGGGGTCCTTGGAAGGGTTTGGGGGACCGGGAGTGGCTTTGGGGGGTCCTGGGTTGGGGTTTGGGGGTCCTGGGGTGGGGTTTGGGGGTCCAGAGTGGGGCTGGGGGGTCTCGGAGACCTCCGGGGGGGCTGGGCTGGGGTTGAGGAGGGGTTTGGGGGTCCCGGTCAGTGTCAGGGGGGTGTCAAGCCCCCCCCCCCCCGTCGGGGGTTTTGGGGTCCAGGCCAAGGTCGGGGGGTACCTTTGGGGGGGGGCGGGGCACTGTCCAGCACTGCAGGCGGGGGGGGCTGAAGGCGTCGTCGTACTGGGGATGGGGGGGGACCCCGCTGAGAGCCGGGACCCCCTCGGGCCTGGTGTCCCCCCCCTGTCCCCCCTGTCCCCCCATCTCCCCCATTTTAACCCCTTTTCTCCCGCATCCCCGCTTTGTTCCCCCTTTCTCCCCCCTCGTTTCACCCCCTCTTTCCTCCCACCTCTTCCCCCGCTTTGTTCCCCCTTTCCCCGCCTGGTTTCTCCCCTTTTCCCACATTTTTCCCCACATTTTTTCCCACTTTTCCCTCTTTTTTCCCCATTTTCCCCTCCCCACCTGCCCCGCCATGTTCGGTTGCCCGGCAACGGCCGCAACGGGCAGCGAGGGGCGGGGTCAATGACGTCATCATTGCAAAACCACGCCCCTTAGCCATGACCACGCCCCTTTTGTGGCTCCGCCCCTTCCCGGGCCTGTCCCGGGACAGCGACAGCGACAGGAGGGGACACAAAGGGACAGGGACAGGGACAGGGACAGCAGGGGTCTGTCCCCATCCCTTTCGCCATTTCTGTCGCCTCTGTCCCCATTCCCGTCCCTGTCCCCTCCCTTGTCCCCGTCCCCATCACTCTTCTCTCTGTTCCCATTTTTATCCCGTCCATTTTCCCATTCCTGTCCCCTCCCCATCCTTGTCCCCATCCCTGTCCCTCTGTCCCCTCCCTGTCCCTCTGTCCCCTCTTTGTCCCCTCCCTGTCCCTCTGTCCCCTCTTTGTCCCCTCCCTGTCCCCCTGTCCCCTCCCTGTCCCTCTGTCCCCTCTGTCCCCGTGTCACGCCACTCCCTCTCAATTAACTCAATTAACTCAATTTTATTCCATTTCCTTTTTCCTTTTTTTCCTTTTTCCTTTTTTTCCTTTTTCCTTTTTTTCCCTTTTTTTTTTCCCTTCTTTTTTTGGGTTCGTTTTTTCTTTTCTCTTCGTTCCCAACCGCGATTCCCGGCCCCAAAAAAACCCCAAAAAGCCCCAAAAAACCCCAAAAAAGGGGCAGAGCCGCTTTTGGGGCGGGGCGGGTGACAGCGAGTGACAATGACAGTGGGGGGGCTGCGAATGGGGACTGGGGAAACTGGGAATGGGATTGGGAACTGGGAAACTGGGAATAGAAACTGGGAATGGGATTGGGGAACTGGGAATGGGATTGGGGAACTGGGAATGGGATTGGGGAAACTGGGAATGGGAACTGGGGAAATTGGGAATGGGAACTGGGAATGGGATTGGGGGAACTGGGAATGGGAACTGGGAATGGGATTGGGGAACTGGGAATGGGAACTGGGAATGGAAACTGGGAATGGGAACTGGGAGTGGGGGGAGCTGTAAAAAAAAAGGGACCAAACCCCAAAATAAAGCAACAAAAGCGGGGCGGGGGGCGGGGCGGGGCGGGGATTTTGGGGCATTTTGTAGGATTTTGAGGCTTTTTCGGGTTTTTTGAGCGGTTTGAACCGTTCCTGCCGTCACTGCGGGCTGGCTGTCGCTGTCGCTGTCGCTGTCACTGTCACTGTCGCCGCTGAGGCTCCACGAGGGAACTCCGGACATGGAATTTTGTGGGATTTTGTGCCATTTCGGAGGGAATTTTGTGGGATTTTGTGCGGAATTCTGTAGGATTTTGAAGCTTTTTCGGGTTTTTTGAGCGGTTTGAACCGTTCCTGCCGTCACTTCTGCAGAGTCGCTGTCGCTGTCGCTGTCGCCGCTGTGGCTCCACGAGGGAACTCCGGACAGGGAATTCTTTGGGATTTTCTGAAGATTTTTTTGGAATTTTGTGGGGTTTTGTGCTGAATTCTTTAGGATTTTGAAGCTTTTTCGGGTTTTTTGAGCGGTTTGAGCCACTCCTGCCGTCACTTCTGCAGAGTCGCTGTCGCTGTCACTGTCACTGTCGCCGCTGTGGCTCCACGAGGGAGCTCCGGACATGGAATTTTTTGGGATTTTGGTGCCATTTCGAGGGGATTTTGTGCTGAATTCTGTAGGATTTTGAAGCTTTTTCGGATTTTTGAGCGGTTTGAGCCGCTCCTGCCGTCACTTCTGCAGAGTCGCTGTCACTGTCACTGTCGCTGTCGCGGCTCCGAGAGGGAGTTCCAGACATGGAATTTTTTGGGATTTGGTGCCATTTCGAGGGAATTTTGTAGGATTTTGTGCGGAATTCTGTAGGATTTTGAAGCTTTTTCGGGTTTTTTGAGCGGTTTGAGCCGCTCCTGCCATCACTTCTGCAGAGTCACTGTCACTGTCACTGTCACTGTCACTGTCGCTGCGGTGGCCCCGAGAGGGAGTTCCAGACATGGAATTTTGTGGGATTTTGTGCTGAATTCTGTAGGATTTTGAAGCTTTTTCGGATTTTTGAACGGTTTGAGCCGCTCCTGCCGTCACTTCTGCAGAGTCGCTGTCGCTGTCGCCGTCCCCGTCGCTGTCCCCGCGGTGTCCCCGCGGTGTCACAGCGCGGGACATGTCACCTGGTGTCGCATGCCGTCGTTGCAGAGCAGCGCGGCCCCGCGCTCGTCGCTGTCGCCGTGCTGGCACTGCAGGTAGCTGATGCCATGCGGCGAGTAGGAGTGGTGGGCACAGGCGGCGCAGGGCCGGGGCATAGTGCCACCCGTGCTGCTCCTGCCACAGAGCGGGGACAGCCCCGCGACACCGCGTCAGCTGGCACCGGGCACGGGGGTGGCACCACGCTCGGTGTCGCTCTGCGCCTGGTGGCGCCCATTGGTGCCCCTTGGTGGCCCTGTGCCACCCCCTGTGCCCCTTGGTGGCACCTCTTGGTGCCCCTTGGTGACCCTGTGCCACCTCCAGCAGGACCCTTGGTGACCCTGTGCCACCCCCTGTGCCACCCTCTGGCACCTCTTGGTGCCCCTTGGTGACCCTGTGCCACCTCCAGCAGGACTCTTGGTGACCCTGTGCCACCCTCTGTGCTTGGTGGCACCCATTGGTGCCCCTTGGTGACCCTGTGCCACCCTCTGTCCTTGGTGACACCCATTGGTGCCCTTTGGTGACCCTGTGCTTGGTGGCACCCAGCAGGACCCTTGGTGCCACCCACCCAGTGTCACCCAGTGTGACCCAGTACCACCCAGTGGTGCCTGCTTGTCCCCAGTGGTGCCCAGTACAGCCCAGTGCCAGTCACTGGTGCCCACTACAGCCCAGTGCATCCCAGTACATCCCAGTACATCCCAGTACAGCCCAGTGCCAGTCACTGCTGCCCAGTACATCCCAGTACATCCCAGTGCCAGTCACTGGTTCCCAGCACAGCCCAGTACATCCCCGTGCCAATCACTGGTGCCCAGTACAGCCCAGCACAGCCCAGTACATCCCAGTAGAGCCCAGTGCCAGTCACTGGTGCCCAGCACAGCCCAGTACATCCCAGTAGGTCCCAGTGCCCCCATGCCCCGTGGTGCCCAGCACATCCCAGTACATTCCAGTGCCCCCGTGCCCCCGTGCCCTGCGGTGCCCAGCACATCCCAGTAGGTCCCAGTACATCCCAGTGCCCCCGTGCCCCGCGGTGCCCAGCACATCCCAGCACATCCCAGCACATCCCAGTACATCCCAGCACATCCCAGTACATCCCAGCACATCCCAGTACATCCCAGTACATCCCAGCACATCCCAGCACATCCCAGTACATCCCAGTTCATCCCAGCACATCCCAGTACATCTCAGTACGTCCCAGTGCCAGTCACTGGTGCCCAGCACATCCCAGCACATCCCAGCACATCCCAGCACATCCCAGCACATCCCAGCACATCCCAGCACATCCCAGTACACCCCAGTGCCCGGTGCCCACCTGCAGTCGCTGCAGGCGCGCTGGCACTCCTTGCGCTGGTAGCGGGCGATCAGTGCCCAGATCAGCAGCCCCAGGAGGCTGAGCAGGAGGAGCGAGCCCAGGATGGAGCCCACGATGATGCCAGCCTGCCGCCCGCCTGCCGTGGGCACACAGCCTGTCACCGCCGGCCTCGCCGGCTGCCCGGGCACCCCGGGGCACCCGTGCCACCCGCTGCCACCCGCTGCCACCTCAGGGCCACCCACAGCCACCCAGAGCCACTCAGAGCCACCCAGAGCCAGATTGGAGCCCAGGGACACCCACAGTGCCACCCAGGGACACCCCAATGCCAGCCTGGAGCTCAGGGACACTGCAGTGCCACCCAGGGACACCCCAATGCCACCCGGTGCCACCCTAGTGCCAGCCTGGAGCCCAGGGACACTGCGGTGCCACCCAGGGACACCCCAGTGCCACCCCAGTGCCAGCCTGGAGCCCAGGGACACCGTGGTGCCACCCAGGGACACCCCAATGCCACCCAGGGACACCCTAGTGCCAGCCTGGAGCCCAGGGACACCACAGTGCCACCCCAGTGTGACCCCAGTGCCACCCCAGAGCCAGATTGGAGCCCAGGGACACCCCAGGGACACCCACCGTGCCACCCAGGGACACCCGGTGCCATCCCTGGTGCCACCCCAGAGCCAACCTTGGGACACCCTGGCACATGAGACATCCTGGTGCCACCCTGGTGTCCCCAGTGTCACTCTGTGTCCTGGTGCCACCCTGTGTCACCCCGGTGTCCCCGATGTCCCCAGTGCCCCAATGATGTCCCCAATGTCCCCAGGGTGTCACTCACGGGGCGCGGGGTTCAGGCTCAGCTGGCACACCCCAATGTCCCCAATGTCGCCAATGATGTCCCCATGTCACTCACGGGGCGCGGGGTTCAGGCTCAGCTGGCACACCCCAATGTCCCCAATGTCCCCAATGTCCCCAATGTCCCCATGTCACTCACGGGGCGCGGGGTTCAGGCTCAGCTGGCACACCCCAATGTCCCCAATGTCCCCAATGTCCCCAATGTCCCCATGTCACTCACAGGGTGCAGGGTTCAGGCTCAGCTGGCACACCCCAATGTCCCCAATGTCCCCAATGTCCCCAATGTCCCCAATGTCCCCAGGGTGTCACTGACGGGGCGCGGGGTTCAGGCTCAGCTGGCACACCCCAATGTCCCCAATGTCCCCAATGTCCCCAATGTCCCCAATGTCCCCAGGGTGTCACTCACGGGGCGCAGGGTTCAGGCTCAGCTGGCACACCCCAATGTCCCCAATGTCCCCAATGATGTCCCCATGTCACTCACGGGGTGCGGGGTTCAGGCTCAGCTGGCACACCCCAATGTCCCCAATGTCCCCAATGTCCCCAATGTCCCCATGTCACTCACGGGGCGCGGGGTTCAGGCTCAGCTGGCACACCGAGTAGCCCACGCGGTTGCTGACCCGGCACTGGTAGGTGCCAGCGTGTGCCACCGTCAGGCTGCGGATCACCAGGTCACCCGGAGCGCGGCCTGGCACGGGACAGGTGGCACTGTCACCAAGGTGCCACCCGGGGACACGGGGACAGGGACAGGGACACACAGAGGGACACACAAAGGGACAGGGACATGGGGACACACAGAGGGACACGGGACACGGAAAGGGACACACAGGGGGACACGGGGACAGGGACAGGGACACGGGGACAGGGACACGGGGACAGGGACACACAAAGGGACATGGGGACACACAAAGGGACATGGGGACACAGGGAAAGGGACATACAGGGACAGAGGGACACGGGGATATGGGGACAGGGACACACAGAGGGACACGGGACACAGGGAAAGGGACACACAGATGGACATGGGGACATGGGGACATACAGAGGGACATGGGACACAGGGAAAGGGACACACAGGGACACGGGGACAGGGGGACACAGGGACACACAGAGGGACACACAGGGACACGGGGACAGGGGGACACAGGGACACACAGAGGGACACAGGACACGGGGACACGGGGGCAGGGGGACACGGGGACAGGGACACACAGGGGGACAGGGACATGGGGATACTGAGGGACACAGGGAAGACACGGGACACACAGGGAAAGGGACACACAGGGACATGAGGACAGGGGGACACGGGGACAGGGACACACAGAGGGACACAGGGACAGGGACACGGGACACACAGAGGGACACACAGACATGGGGACACACAGACCCCCTCCCCCCACGTGCACCTCCAGCCAGGGCCCTCCCCAAGAGTCCCCCCTGGGCCGGTGCCCCCAAATCCCTTCCCGAGACCCCCACGGAGGGTCCCTCACCCACCTTGGGGTGTCCCCGAGCGCAGGGACCCCCCTGAACCCCCCAAATTCCCTCTGTGCCCACTTTGCAGGGTGCCCGCGGGCAGGGACACCCCCTGAGCCCCCCAAACCCCCTCTGTGCCCACCTTGCAGGGTGCCCGAGGGCAGGGACCCCCCCAAACCCCTCTGTGCCCCCCAAACCCCCTCTGTGCCCACCTTGCAGGGTGCCCGAAGACAGGGACACCCCCAAACCCCCTCTGTGCCCACCTTGCAGGGTGCCCACGGACAGGGACCCCCCAAATCCCCTCTGTGCCCCCCGGGGGGGTTCCTGACCCACCTTGCAGGGTGCCCGCGGGCAGGAACACCCCCAAACCCACTCTGTGCCCACCTTGCAGGGTGCCCGCGGGCAGGGACCCCCCAAACCCCTCTGTGCCCCCCAGGGGGGTCCGTACACACCTTGCAGGGTGCCCGCGGGCAGGAACACCCCCTGAGCCCCCCAAATCCCCGTTGTACCCACCTTGCAGGGTGCCCGCGGGCAGGCGCCCCCCGCCGTAGCCCTCTGCCAGCTTTGCCCACTGGTAGTTGAGGGGCGCGGCCCCGCCCCGGCTGAAGCAGCGCAGCAGCACCGACCCCCCCTCGGTCAGAGCCCCCTCGCTCCAGCACTGCGGGGCCGCCGGCTTCTCTGCTGGGACAGCGACACGTTGGGGACAGGGACAGGGACAGGGACAGGGACAGGGACAGGGACAGGGACAGGGACAGGGACAGGGACAGGGACAGGGGCTTCTCTGCTGGGACAGGGACACGTTGGGGACAGGGACAGGGACAGGGACAGGGGACAGGGACAGCGACAGGGACAAGGGACATGTCAGGGACAGAGGGGACAGGGACAGGGATAGGGACAGGGACAGCGGCTTCTCTGCTGGGACAGGGGACAGGTCAGGGACAAGGGACAGGGACAGGGGACAGGGGCTTCTCTGCTGGGACAGGGGACAGGGACAGGGGACAAGTCAGGGACAGCGACAGGGACAGGGACAGCACTGGGGACAGGGGACAGAGGGGACAGAGGGACAGCGGTTTCTCTGCTGGGACAGGGACAGCGTTGGGGACAGTGACAGGGACAAGGGACACGTCAGGGACAGAGGGGACAGGGACAGGAACAGCATTGGGGACAGGGGACAGCGACAGGGACAGCGGCTTCTCTGCTGGGACAGGGACAGCGTTGGGGACAACAGGGACAGGGGCTTCTCTGCTTGAACACAGCACAGCGTTGGGGACAGGGGGACAGCGGGGACAGCAAGGACAGCGTTGGGGATAGGGGGACAGCGGGGACACGGCAGGGACAGCAGCAGGGACAGCCGGGGAGGGACAGTGCCACCAGGGGCCACCAGGAAGGGAATTTGGGAGTGGCACAGGGGACACCATCAGTGCCACCAACACACAACACGTGACCACAAGGAACCAAGGCCACCTCGGCGTGGGGAGGGGAGGGGACAAGTGACATCAGGGCCACATCGAGGCCACATTGAGGCCACATCGAGGCCACAGCGGGAGCGCGCTCACCTTGCACGGTGACAATGACCTCGTGCACGGCCACCGTGTTCTTCTTGACGCGGCACTGGTAGGTGCCGGTGTCGCTCTCCTGCAGGTCGGCCACGCGGATGGAGGCGTCGCGCTGGCCCGGGTCCGTCTGCACGAAGGCCACGCGGTCCTGCAGCCCCGAGCTGCCGTAGTTCACGTGGTGGTCCTGGTAGGACAGGAACTGGGGACACGGGGACAGCGTCAGCGCCGCCCCGGTGACGGGGATGGGAGAGGGGATGGGTTGGGGTTTGGGTTTGGGGTTCAGTTGGGGTTAGGGTTGGGTTTGGGGTTGGGTTGAGGTTAGGGTTGGGTTGGGTTTGGGGTTCAATTGGGGTTTGGGTTGGGTTGGGTTGGGGTTCAGTTGGGGTTTGGGTTGGGTTGGGGTTCAGTTGGGGTTAGGGTTGGGTTTGGGGTTGGGTTGGGTTTGGTTTGGGGTTCAGTTTGGGTTAGGGTTGGTTGGATTTGGAGTTGGGTCGGGTTTGGAGTTGGTTGCGTTTGTTTTAGGGGTTGGGTTGGGGTTAAGATTGGGTTGGGTTTGGGGTTCGTTTGGGGTTAGGGTTGGGTTGGGTTTGGAGATGGGTCGGGTTTGGAGTTGGGTGTGTTTGTGTTAGGGGTTGGGTTTGGGGTTTGGGTTGGGTTGGGTTTGGGGTTCAGTTGGGGTTGGGGTTGTGTTGGGGTTCAGTTGGGGTTGGGGTTGTGTTGGGGTTCAGTTGGGGTTGGGGTTGGGTTTGGGGTTGGGTCGGGTTTGGAGTTGGTTGCGTTTGTGTTAGGGGTTGGGTTGGGGTTAAGGTTGGGTTGGGTTTGGGGTTGGGTTGGGTTTGGGGTTCGGTTTGGGTTAGGGTTGGGTTGGGTTTGGGGTTGTGTTTAGGTTAGGGTTGGGTTAGGTTTGGGTTAGGGGTTGGGTTTGGGTGAGGGGTTGGGTTGGGGTTAAGGTTGGTTAGAGTTTGGGTTTAGGGTTGGGTTGTGTTAGGGGTTGGGTTGGGGTTAAGGTTAGTTGGGTTTGGGGTTGGGTTGGGGTTAAGGTTGGTTAGGGTTTGGAGTTGATTGAGTTTAGGTTAGGTTTAAGATTGGTTAAGGTTCGGTTGGGTTTAGGGTTTGGGTTAGGGTTGGGTTTGGGGTTAAGGTTGGGTTGGGTTTGGGGTTGGGTTGGGTTTGGGGTTGGGTTGGGGTTAGGGTTGGGTTTGGAGTTCGATTGAGTTTAGGGCTGGGTTAGGTTTGGGTTAGGGGTTGGGTTTGTGTTAGGGGTTGGGTTGGCGTCAAGGTTGGTTAGGGTTTGCAGTTCGATTGAGTTTAGGGTTGGGTTAGGTTTGGGTTAGGGGTTGGGTTTGGGTTAGGGTTAGGTTTGGGTTAGGGGTTGGGTTTGGGTTAGGGGTTGGGTTGGGGTTAAGGTTGGTTAGGGTTTGGAGTTTGATTAAGTTTAGGTTAGGTTTAAGATTGGTTAAGGTTTGGTTGGGTTTAGGGTTTGGGTTAGGGTTGGGTTAGGTTAGGGTTAAGATTGGTTAGGGTTAGGAGTTGGGTTTAGGTTAGGGTTAAGGTTAGGTTGGGTTTGGAGTTGGGTTGGGTTTAGGTTAGGGTTAAGAGTGGTTAGAGTTAGGACTTGGGTTGGGTTTAGGGTTGGGTTAAGGTTGGTTAGGGTTGGGTTTAGGTTAGGTTTAAGGTTGGTTAGGGTTGGGTTTAGGTTGGTTAGGGTTAGGAATTGGGTTGGGTTAAGGGTTGGTTAGGGTTAGGGTTAGGGTTAGGGTTAGGGTTAGGGTTAGGGTTAGGGTTAGGGTTAGGGTTAGGCTCAGCTCTG